AATGGTTGAGATCATGAGTCAATTGAAGCTAGACCACGATGGAAAACCTGGAAACCTGGAAGACCTGGTTTTCCATGGTGGTCTAATTTCAATTGACTCATGATCTCAGCCATTGAAATGACTATAATATTCACAAAACCCTTCTGATTTAAATAATAATTAGTTTACATTCATTAATTTTTATTCATAGATTATTAGAAAATTTCTAGAACCACTTGGAATATTCTTCAATTTCTGGTGGCAATCAATTTAAATATAAAAATTCATTTATACATATTTTAAGAGTTTTCAGTATTATATCAATATATAATTTAGTTAATCAGATATTTATATAGTAAATCAATCAATTGATCAGTAATTAATCAACTATTTTCAATTTCATTAGTTTTTACAATAAAATACTTGTATTTGTAAATTGCTATGATTAATTGTAATGGTAAGTAAGTATAATGATTTACTGAGTGACATACTTTGTTTTAACAGCTCTAAGAGAGAATGATTGATTTAATTGATAATTATTACCTGTTTGCAAATATGTGATTGTAAAATTCTTACTATGTTACTACCCTTTTTGATAGAACGTTGCATGAGTCATTCGACTAGTAATTAAAAATATTACAATGAAATATGATCAATGCAATATATATATATATAAACAGAGATAGATAGATACTGCAGTTTAAAAACGTAGAATTAATAGTTGCGAATTAGAAACATCAATGTCCTGTTAAATAAATTAATAATTTACATACATAGTATCGATTTTCGTGCTTTAAACTTTCATTATATATTTATTGATCAGTATGACCATGGTGTTTGTTTAGTTCAGTTTCCTAATAAATAAATAAATCAAAATCCTCAGCTCTACATAATATTTTATGAATGTCTACAAATATTTTCATGGAATAATAAATAAACGAAATTCGTTTGTTTACCAGTAAAAGTCCAGCTTCTTGGAAATGCACATTGATGGAACTGATATCACTTGTTTGGGTAAAGGCGTTCCAGTCACTGGCCACTCGATGAGAAAAAAAAAGAATTCTACTCTGAGTTTATTAGATCGCGGTTTATGAATCTTCTTGCTATGGCCTCGAAGAATATTAGTACTGGTCGGAGCATAAAGATGAAACGTATTAACACCTAAATCGTAACTAAAGATACGGAATGTTAATATGAGTTCGTTCACCTCGCGTTCTACGATACGATAAGGGAAAAAGGTTTAGGCGTTTTAAGCGCTCATTGTAAAGAAGTTTAGAAAGACACTTCACTAATTCTGTTCCTACAAACTGAACACACTCAAGCGAGTAAATATCCTCAACAAGACCTGGACCAGATACTTGGATAAAGTAATCTAAATGTGGTCTTACGTAGATGGTATAAAAAACTTGAAACCCTTCCTCGTCAAAGCGTTTGTATGCTCGTTGAAGTAACTACAACGCACGAAAACCTTTGGCACCGGCAGTGCGTTGTTGTCCTCAAGTAGTGATTCGCTGTAGCCTCCAAGTCTATATGTTCCTGCACGCATGGAAAAGATGTACCGTCGATAGTATACTGGTAACTGTCAATGTGTCTGATACGCATGAGCACAATTTTTCTAGAATTAATTTCCAACCTGCTAGCTTTGAACCGTCTAACTAATTCGTAAGGGTCAGCTTGGAGATCAAAATGACCAGCCTCGCTTCCTATTGTTCTCCGGCTTTTAACATCCTCCCCAAAATTTCGTTGACGACTTAAGCAATGGCGGTAATTCATTGACATAGAGAAGGAAAAGTAGGGGACCTAAGATGGTGTCTTTGGGTACGCCACTTTTGAAGTCACCTGAACTTAAATATTTATTGACTTTACGACCCACAGTGAGCATTATCTACCAACTTCATATTTTCATCGTTGAAATCAAGGATTGATCTTGGTTAGATCATCATTAGAAATCTGGTACTTCTGGATGGTCAGTTCGTTATCGGCAATGCACATTCCCGACCTTGGAAGTGGTAATCCAACTCATGACCTTCAGTTTCATGAGAGGATACTCAATTTCTAAACGACTTGGCTGGCAACCAACGGTATTATTGTCTGACATCGATCAATCAATAATCCTGTGCAACCCATCATTCATTGCCTGTGGTGGGCAAATTTGTCATACCGAACAATAGTTGGTCACGGATTCTAAATAGAACTCCAGAATTTATGTCTTGAAGCTAGTCACTAGCGAACACATGATTGTTATTAGTCTAGAGGATTTTTGAAGACTATGCTACTTTTTATGAGTCCGATTTCCATGGCGGGGGTCGTAGATTCTCATTACTTTGGAATCTGATACTAGGACGAAATCGCCGACCAGTGCTTCCAGATTTTGAATGGTGGTCTAGCTAAGATCAGTTTGTGATTTCGAAGGTGGAAATACTATAATCGCCTTGAATCCCTATATTAATAACTCTATGTTTAAATACCGAATAGTTTAAAACAAGTGGACCTTAACTAAAATAACCCATAGATTGATATTGTGGTTATTAACATTGCAATTTATTCAATCACTGATTGCAATAAAATTGTTTAGTTTTGACCTTGAACTTTTCCGACACTCTGACTGCATGACCCATAGATTACCATTCACAAAATATATAACTCCTCATACTACTCTTCGTTCTCATTCGGCCAAATCCTTTATTATCAGATCAATTATATAATTTCATACTGATTTCTATACTAAATAATAATATAATTGTCATGTACATTTAAAGATCAAGTCTTTTCCTGAATACTAGATTTTACATTGCAGAAAACTGGATTATTTGTTACGTTTTGTAATTACTAATTACACGTTATAATTATGGCCCTGGTGATCGATCAGTCGAATATACCGCACCTAAGAGCTAACAAGAGACGGCTGAAATTCACTTGCGTATTTATATCCTTAACTGATTCTTAACGTTATTACTTAATAATTTTGTTACTATTTTGGTAGTTACATTTGTAATCTGCTACAATATTTAGTCATTGACTTATTTGTGAACACTAAATAATAAATACGAATTCATCTTCTATAACTTCTGTTCTTCATAGTTTGATAAGTGCATTTGACTGAAGGAAATTGATATCTAAACTTGTGTATTATTGATTATTTCTAGGCGACGCATAGAACGATATAGAGAGAACAGAAATAACCAAAATTATGACCTTAAATACACCTATGATTTTCATTTGTCTAAATTATTCATATCAGAATATTTATGTAGGCGAAGTGATCAATTTGGAAATAAACAGTTGAAAAATAACTAAATTTAGATATCCTCTAACTGGAACAAAAAATAACGTTCTTGTTGGAGTATAGTACACATGAACGTGAAAACTGTTCACAAAGTAAAAGACAATTTTCAGCTGTTATTCGAAATGCAAAAGTCACCATGGCATCTGATTCATAGCCTTCTGTACGCTGTTTTGATTCACAGTATTGTTTACGCAGTTTATAAGTTTTATAACGAAATTTCAATCCATTTCTGAATAAGGTTCACATGAAAGTAAACTCACTAAGAATCTAAGCATGATGAATGAATGTTATGTATATATCAGGAGGATACGATTCAAAGGAACCAACATCTGTCATTGATCATATAATTCTTAAAATTATTTACTCAACTTAATTCTTTCACCACGGTACTATCAGTTATTGTACAATAATTTCAGTTTTATAGCTAATTTTGCTCAATTCGATTGTGACGGCTCAGTCAATCAGTCAGCTACAACGTAGGACCAGGCAATATATGCATCGGTCCAAGTTGCCATACCACATTAGAACAAGACGAGTACCAAATTCAAAAGATGGTTGCTACAATGGTAGTGAGAAAGACTTCATATAAGGATATGATACAGGGAGAAAAAATCAGTTTGTAGGAACAATTTTAATCTCACGGTTTAAGGGAAGACAAAGAGTGTATACACCTAAACCACTGTGGCCGATTCTAAGCCATGTCACAAAGTCTGCAACCATTGGTTACGATAGTCGCGCGAACCTCAACCAAGTAGTCTGTATCTACCAACATGGCTCAGGGCAAACGTTAGTGACTCTATGAACTGAAGCTTTGCCGGAAACCACTTGAGGTTGAGAAATCAGATGACAGTTCACCATAAGCTATGAATCGACTGGTAGTGTTCGAGTAAAGAGCCTTCACTAAGTTTATGTACTTCTGAAGTATGCCTTTCAATGATAGACACTGTCACAGAACCTCTCGGTCTACCGAATCAAATGCTCCTTTTAAGTGAAAATGAATATTATTTTCGGACGCTGATAAGGGCGCTTGTGTTCTAAAATCTGACGGATGGTGAATTGTGGTCCATGTAGCCACGACCAGGTCTGAAGCGGGAATTAGGAAAAGACACTGGTGGTCTGTAAGATATGCATTGAAGAAATCAACAAACTGCATTACGAGCCAAATGCTAACTCGTAATCCTGAAGGGGAAAGGAAAAGTGGAAGACGAAGGAACATATTTTGCATGGAATTGTAAGCAGATATCAAAAGGATGAATAGAAAGTCGGAACAACTGGAAAGGAGAGCAGAAGGCAGAGTTGTTTGGAGAATCATGGTCGGCGACGTATCCTCCTACACTAGTGGTAGAAGACGCAAGTGAGGTGAAGTAACAATGATAGCATAAAAGAATGAATCAAAAAACATTTTATCAACTAAACTTGTATATGTGTACATTCTGTGTCATTTAAGCTTCAAAAATAATCAGTGCCTGGATCGATTTCGTTCCATGCTTAGAGAGCTAATTTATTTTAGTCTTATAGTTGGAATTTCCACACAGAGAAATGACTATATCAGTTCCAAAATCCTGGATTACTGATTGAATAGCAAACGTTTTATTTTTAATTTGGATATACATTCAATTCGCAATCATAATGCTAAATTCGGTGTATGTGTCTTTTCATGAAAAAATCGATTATTGCTTACATAAAACACTTGTTCATCATGAACTTCATAAAAAAGTCAAAGAATACAAGCAGTTGAAAGTCACTTTTTAGCTTTTTATTTATAGAAGAGGACGAATATGAGAAAGAAACAAAAGTATTTTAGATCATTAAATAGTCTTTTTTTTAAAGATTGTCGAAAAATAAATCAATAAATGGGATACTTATAATAAATACACGTTTTGTGTAGTACAAAAAGACAGACATAAGAAACATTTCTTAAACAAAGATACGGAGAATATAATAAAAATCAAATGTTCATAGGGAAATCTTTTTAAGGCTGTGCAGAAGGTTGTCCAGGTAGATATTGTCCCTGAAGACCACCACCAGCAAGGGGAGCATGTGCGTCAGTATTGCCTCCACCAACACTAGGAAAAGCACCATTACCACCCATTGAATGAGCAGGAAGCATCATGTTAGGGGGAGAAAATGCTGCATTTGGAGGCATTGGCATTGTAGGATAAGCGCCATAGAATGGATACATTGTTGGATAAGGAGCCATTCCTAAATGTAATAGGACAAAAAATTAAAGTTCAAGCAACAACTTGATTGAACCACATGATAACAAAAACCTATAAATAAAATCCATCACATAGCTCAATTGAATTTACTTATTCCTTGTGTGTACATTAAAAATAAAAGTTATTTTCCAACCAAAATGGAAGATTATGTCTAAATGTGTAGAAATATTCAACGTTATCACAATGATCGTTGTTTCGAAATCTATTGAAAAAGAATGCACCAGATTTTACCTATGAAAATCCATTTCAAAAATGAACGTTCTAAATTATTAATCAAATAATTATTCTCCAGACGAATTCAATGAAGTTTGAGATTGCTACAGTACTCGATCATATAAATTAAGTGCCCCCCAAATGCCCTGGTACGGCCGAGAGTGGGGAGAGTCCGCTCTCCCTCTCGAAATGCTCTCACATGGCCACGCGTATATAGCCTCTGCCAGGGAAGTCTTACTCACTGCCTTCTCGTGGCGGGGGTGTTGTTTACGAAAATGAGAGGACGAAAAGCGAATGTCCGGCGCTTTAACCGGATTCCAAACCAATGGTGCACATGGGCTCTAGTATCCTGCGGGAACAAATGGTGTATGAACCAATTGTTGGTCACCGGCTTCCATGGGACTGCATCTCCTTACGATGCTCCATTGCCTTGTGGATCAGAACCTCAGGTTGAAGGCTCCGGGAGTGGCCCCCTAAGAAAACCACCTGTTTCGGTTTGGGCACCCGGGCAGTATCACAGCCCTCACACATATCGAATGAGGTTTGTGTGGCGCATATATATTTGGTGCCTCTTTGTACCAATATCTATGTGTTGAAATAAATAAATAAATAAATATAAATTAAGTAGAAAGTAATTTTCCTTATCTGTTCAAAAAGACGTTCAACTACAAACTATTTTCCCAATTGACTTTTAATAACCGAAAACGAAAATACACTCTTTTTCACTCGATTAATTTGAACATTAATTATTGATTGTGGCAACCATCTAATTTGCAATTGATCACAACCTATGTGTTGGAATAGAGGTCTTAGGATGAGAACCTTAATTAGTTGTATTCTATCTTGAACAATAATAATCGATTTGGTAAACGTTTGAAAATCACTTGAAGTGAGAGCTTGTAGGTGTGTAATTAACAGTTATTTCAATGACAAAAAATGGAATTTAACGAAACTCAGGAATCAGTTATCCTAGTGATTTCCATAATACTTAGTTCAAGCTATCAAATATGCATTAATAGGCATAATCTAAAGATTTAGTCAACATGACTTGGAATGAAGAAAGTGGTCGCGGTCGTAATTTCATAATCCTAACCCACAACAGGTCGAACTAGGTAGAGGACTTTTTTGAGGAACTCTTCGGATCTCCCCAACACGTTTCTTTGTATCCACTTGCCATATCAAATTATATAAAACTATCAACAATCCTTTTATTTTAATCTTCACCTACACATTAAAACTAACATGTATTTTATTTAAATGGTTTATAATGTAAAGAACTATGGATAAAAATTACGACAACTCCATCAACACACAGGCGCACACAAATATACCAGTATTTTATACAATTTTACCTATTAATAAATTTGACTAAAGCAAGAACAGAAAGGATGGCAGAATAAAACTGATTGATTAACTTATTCGAAGTAATCACAACTAAAAAAGTTGAAATCAAATTAATACATTTAAAGAAAGACACAGTTTTAAATCTCTCATTATCCTAGTAAGTTCTATTTTTTATTAATCAATTACATAGTATCTCCTTTCATATTCTCAATAACAAATTTATTCTTGAGTCAACTTTTGAGCTTTACTCATCTTATTCTGTAAATCTATTCAACTTTATGGTTTTTATTACGTAACGCTGTAGCATCAATTTTCATTCACTAGAAACATTTCTAAAATCTTCACATTCAGTAACAAATAAATACTCAGTCACTTTACAAACTTTTTCATAATCATTGTCATTATTCTACTAAACTTTAATAATATGATGTAAAGGTGGTTATAAATGATGATTACTATTGTTTCTAGGTTGTAAGTAGCTAACAAGAATTCAAAAAAATCAATGATTTGATCTTATTCCGATACACTTCTTATTAGTCAAACACAAATATAATTTTTTTTCAGTAACAAAAAAGCGCACTAAACAACATACCACAGAAAAAACTTCCATTCCACATTCTGTTGAAAACAATATACATCAAGTTTTTAATGCTTACCATATGGTGAAGGTTGAGGCATCACAGGATCTAGAAATAAAATTAAATAATAGACCATGTATACATGAATTTATTCACTAAGCAGGTAACTATAATTGCAGGTATATTATGATTTTCAAGAAGAAGGCATTAATTAAACATTGAGTAATGGAAAAACCACAATGCACTGTATTCAATTATTTATACCTCTATTCCACTTACAGCTAATATCAGTAAACAATGAAATGAACAGGGTCATAGTTACAGCATTATGTAATTAAATTTCCAAATGTTTTATTACACAAACATCTATACAGAATAGCTTGAAATAGATTTTTGACCAGTCACTTTGAAAATTTTATACTACGTGCATAACTTAAATTCATCTACCCACCTCCTACCAGAAGAATGTAGATTTAATAGCCAATTCTCAAGGCCAAATCTAACTAATCTATGATTAACTAGTCGCAGTCTACCATAATATTAGAGTGAACAAAAGTCTATATACTCATCAGTCTTTTAGTCTTGAGGGGTAGAATTCAGGGAAGTGTGAATCTCATTTATGGTCACTACCGTGACAGAAGGAACTAAGCTTTATGATATTTAATGGTTAATGCATAAGATATATCTTAAAATATTAGCTATGGCAACAGCCTAATATCAGTTGTTAAGGTAAATGGTAAAATCTAAAAAAAACAATCTTGAAACAAATTGAGAGATAAATCATAACATACAGCCTTGAGGATTCCATGCTTGAGGCATCGGATATGTGGTACTATTCATCATGGGAATTGTTGGTGTTGGCATTGGAACTTGAGGAACAGCGGGAGGAACAGGGTTGACACGGTTAACATAAGATGGTTCAGGTCGAGTAGGGACTGAATAAAAGCAACAGAAAATAAAATAGTGTTAGCTAATTTCAAATAAAATGATCAGGTATTGTATAAGATTCCGTTAGTTTTATCTTTCATCAACTACCTACAATTCATAATGATTTTACAATAAATTATATGAAGCTTTAATAAGAAGTCAGTAGGTAGATAAGGTACACAGGTAGATTGAAAATCATGCAAGTAAATTAAATGAGTTTTAGTAAAACTTAATAAATCTAATTGTTATATTTTTTTGTTTCTTTTTGAAGTCTGTTCTCTATGCTTAGTGTTACTTATCAGATACTGTAATTATTTGAAATTTGACGACGTTTATCTAGTTAATTTCAATTCACTACACTGATATGATGTAGGAACTTGGTTTGACACACATTAGTGATAGGCTTTTACGTCAGTTATGATTCACTAATTTTGCTCTAATTACTAATTTTCAGTTATCCTAAAAAGTAATACGAAAAAGAACACTAAAGAATTTGAAATCGATTAACTTATTTACCAAAAGGTTTTTAGAAATACAAGAAAAAAACGGAACTCAAACGTTAACGTAATCAAGATAGAAACAAACAAACAGGTAGCGACAAAAGTCTAAGAAGGAATTTCCAACTTACCAGATGGTTTCGGAAAGACTTGTTGGTCTGAAACACGAACCCGGCTTATATTTGTTGTAATATCAGACATTAATTCATTTTTCTCAGTAGTACGTGCAGCGCAGAAATCTTCAATCTTTTAAATGCGAAAATGATGAAAAAATATACAAACAACAGTAAGAAATGAGCGCCGTTGTTCAAAATCTAAATTAAAACTGCAACTGCTTTTTTAATACCAGTTAGACATATCAGCAACTCAATCATCATACATTACTCAGTTACCAGAAATAAATTTGCAATAAAGTTGTTGAAATTTTTAGTCAATGATTTTTGTTGTTCGAATGTTGTCCGATTTATTGCTGTCAAAACCATGAAATAATACATCTATCATTGACGTAATATAAGTGTAGTTCAGAAACGAATCAGTGCTTACTTCACTAGTATTTTACATCTGTATAGTTTTCTCTTGACAAACAGTGTACCAAAAAAACTATAAAACTTAGGTTAATATAAAACAGCAAATTAGTACAATTAAACTTTCTGTATAAATCCATATCCTTTGATATTACGAATACTTAATTGTAGATAATTAACAGTTAAATTCACTGAATTCTGGGACTTGTTTAAAGGACCAAAGGTCCTGAATTGGAATCCCGTGTGCGGGATCGTGGATGCGCACCGCTGAGGAGTCCCATACTAGGACGAAACGGATGTCTAATGCTTCTATTTTCAAAGCTGTACAATCGCAAATATATATACTTATTTTCTCAGGATGATAATAATTACAATAATAAGGGTAATAAACTTCTGCTAAACATAGTGACAATGAGATAGAATAAATAAAGGTATTAAAATAAACTTAAACGGGGAAACTAATAATCGTTTGATTGTTAGTGGCTTAAGTATCCATCAAAAGATAGGGAAATTATCATTGGGGAAAGATGGCTCAGCATGATAAGATAAAATGTTGAAATTGAGATTAAATGTAATCAGGAAGACCGTAGAAGCAGAAATAAACCAGTTGGGGGTAGAAGATTTAAGAAGATGGCTATGAAGAAAAAAATTATAAGACATTAAGACCATGGTAGAGGAAGAGATTGTATCAATCTCTTTTGAAATATCTAAAGGCTAAATATCTCAGCCTTACCTTAACGATATATGTATCTAAATCCAACTTACGGATATGCTTAAGACCTAGATGTAGGAAACGATAATTAAGGCTTTTAAGTACTTGTCATAATTAACATCACATCACATCAAATAAACTTTAGTAGTTAAATAAACACCATTTAACTGATCGTGTTGAATGAAACTCTTAAGTAAATTGTACTAAAATGATAATGACCGAACAATAAGTTCCAACTTTCAAACATAACAAACACATCACCATAACAAATCAGAATTCGAAGATGATAGCACAAAAGGTGTCAGTAAATAAAGTTAAAGCCAAATAACGTATAATTTACATTCACACCATGACTTATTTATTGAAGGTTACAATGAAACTATGTGAAGTAATGGAGAGTACAGAATCAGTTGTATATATTCCTATTAAAGATCCCAAAAGAGTAACTCTTAATCATTACAAATATGAAATATAAAACTGTAAGATATTTGTTTCACATCAACTTACCTTACACTGGGTATTCACACAAATCTCAGTAAGCTCAGCGTAAAATTTCGTGGCATCACTAACAGCTTCTTTAAGTGCAGAATACTCATCTGCAGCCAAATTAAGCATTGTCAATAGTCCTTTGTCTTTTGAATTACCATCGGACCCACCGTAAAACATATCAGCTTTTGTTTGTAACTCATTTAATAAACTTTCTTGTTTATTTAGATTTTCTTGAATAAGTTCACGCACAGACACCATTTTTTCATCAAGCATATCAGTAGCAATTTGTAAATCAACTGTTTCATTATGTTCACTATAGTACGTCAATAGCTTTTTAACTGTCGGAAAATACAAATACATATTAAGTATCCATACAAGAGAAACCTATTCCAAATTAATGACTTGATTCATGAAAGTTATTCACCCTAACAGAAAGTGATACTGTGGAATAATGGGTTTTAGCATTAGACTTAACACGTGCAACGAATTTTTTGGATACACAAATATTTTCACCTGAGATATGAACTGGGTCTACAATGAGTAACAGCGCATCACCCGTGTAATAAATACAATTCTGTGTTGGAAATCATTCATTGGGTTGTGTCAATTTCTCAGTCATGTGTGTAGCTTCCCATCTATCGATCAAGACTTCATTCGTAAACTTAACAAACGAAATGTTTTTGTTCTGACTCGATAAGCCCTTCTTCATAACACTAATAAGCGTGCAACGCCAATATGCACAAATGACTTGGTAAACTAAATAATAAGTTCCAACGTTTTGTAGACAACTCATTTCCGACTTTCTGATTTGATCTGATGAGCGGATAATCGTTAAACCTTTTTTATTGACTAATAAACTATTTAATTCTTCTAATGCTTTTGGCCTAAAAGAATGAATTAAAACCCTGTTAACAGAAACTGTCTATCATCCAGTAACAGTGAGAATAAAAATAACTTCGAACTATCAAACTACTATTTTAGATTGAATTAATCGATAGTTATGATGAAAGTTATATGTGAGTGACTCAAGGAAACTAAGTTGAAGAAAAATATTCTCCTGACTACTAAAATAATATAATGGAATTGCACACACATGCAAACACATAGGCACAAATGTGTATATAGTCCAGCGACTAAAAGAAAATGTGTTCATTTTAAGTAAACAAAACACAAAATAATGATTATTCTAACTAACTGTGATGAAAGCAAATATTTGCTTTCAATTAATGCCAAAAAAGATGAGGAACAGAAAAAACCAACCTAGTGTTATCCGGTTTCATTGCAGAACAAGGCTAATACTATATGTTTATATTATATAATTTATATTTTCTAAACCCAGTAAATTAACAAAATTCATTGGTCGACAGCGTTTTAACGACGAAATGCTAATTTTCTCGAAATACTGAAATTAAACCCGAACTATGTGAACAAAGTTCGTCTAACGCTAGTTATCTTCAACCACACAAACCAAGAATTGTCAAAGTGGAACGAATTAACAGAATTTTTTCCTGTGCAAACAGCTTTTCTTAATCCCATCAAGGATAAATACTGCTTCAAACTTGAGCCAACATTATAAATTGAAAACGTTTTAGGGAAATTGAAACTTTTTGAATTATTTAGTTTTATTGTATGGCTAATAGGTAAATGCATAATTGTGTTTCAATATTCCCCTCACTTGAGGCTTCCAATAAACCTACTGCTTGCTTCACTCTTTACCATTGATGGCACGATTGTAGTTAAAGTATGGTTTCCTATATGGTGTGCTATGCGATTTGATAGTTCGCGTACATAAGTTAGTGAGTGTTTGGAATAGCCGTTGGCTGTACTGTGTTGACTGGATAAGCTGGGTGATTGAAACAATAATAATATAAGCATAGCTACCGATTTATCTCCAGATTCAAGGCTGATAGGGAAAAGCTTGCGGATAAATAGATTAATAGGAGTGTAACTTACGTTGCCTCAAGGTCAGAAAGTAAAATTGGTCAAGTCTAGGACGTTAGACTATAGACAAAATAGTAGAAGCAAGATAGAAAGTTAGAATCGGGATTCTGATTGGTTAATCTAGCACGTGCTTTCTATTAGCGTCACGACTGTAAAGACCTTAGAAACGATGCTGGATATGCAAGAAAGTGGCAAGGATTTTTGAAGACGTGAATTTGTATTACAACTTTACACTAAGTATCGCCGTTTTATAATAAAACTACATAATTTCCAGCCATCTCACCCGAAGCCTTGACTCACATATTACATACATTTCGTGCATCCCACAACTAGGACGTCTGAATACTACGGATCTCAGCTTAATAATCAATATCTATACAAACGGATGCCATATTATATTTTGATCATTTAAAGCTTACTTTCCACTTATTTAACCACATGAGTCCATGAAAGTTCGTGGCCTCACCAACCAATTTATAATTCCAATCTAGTACTCAATAGATCCATCAAAAGCGCATAAGGACTCAAAGATTTCCATGATCAAATGAACACAAGTTGCATGTGGATCTTCATCTTTGAAGGAAATGTTTCGCACGTATAAAGCAATACAAAACGAAATGATTCCTAGTTCGCTCACTACACTTAGTGTAGGTTGGTCAATATCAAGCGATATTTTGCTAATTAACGACTTATCTGGGATAAATAGACTCTCAAGATAAATAAACAGCTTAGACCATTCGAATGAAAACGGCAATTTACTAGTTTGAGACCTAAATTAGTAAGCTTAGTAGCCGCATCATGATTCTACACCTTAAAAAATTGTCAAAATATAATTAAGAAATAAAAGATTACTATAATAAATTGAATCGAGAAATCTTACCTAGATCCGGTGAATAATCAACTAACTTCAACTGTTCTATTAGATCATTTCTTTCCGTCTTAATTAATTCTAGTTTGTTGCATAACTGAGTTAGTTCAGATCTTAGTTCTTCATTATTGGCTTCAGTACCAGATTCGGCAAATTTTGCATCTGATCCAATAAGCGTTTCAAGTTCATCTTCTGGTTTACTTAATATTTCAAAGTGTTCTTTATGCTTTTCGTATCGTTCTAAAAGAGATGCATCAGTTTTCGTAGTCTAGATGAAATAAAAGAACCAAAAGAACGCACTTGAGTTTTGAAATGAAAAATTTTAAACAAATAAAAAACCTCATTTTTATAAACCTCATTTTTATGCAACAATATAAGATATTCAAGGTAGTACAATGTTTGATACAATGAATTATGCAGTGATGCAAATGTTAAGTTGGAAAAACTTATCTAAAATCTAATCTATAAAAAGAAATAGAGATGTACACCCTTATGTAAAAGTCCACATACTTCATAGTTTGTTTAGCCCAGAGAGGGATGTGATTTGAAAAAATTATGAAATGTCCAAGGTTGTAAGAGTCTAATATTGTTTCCGAACTACTACAAATGAATTCGAGCACCATTATCTGAGGGTACCCAAACCATTGATTTCTAACATAGATCGTTTTGGAGCTTGGACCGCCAGTCAATGACTGCAAGAATTAATGACTTATATGATGCCAAACAACACAAAGAATTTTTGTTCAATCCGATTTCAGTTGGCTCTAGGAGTTCTGTCATGGAGTACAGCTTAATATGCCTCAACTGGATTGGAGTCAAAACGTCCGATGCAGACAAATCATGAGAAGTTATTTAATACTTGGAAGGTATATGCTAAAGATCTATGCACGTTCGAGGATTCAGAAAGAACAAATGAAGAATCGAGGTAAAAAGGCTTTATTCGTGGAATCCGACTGTAGCTCTTGACATGTGGTGGTTGAGCTTACCTATCGCAATAACCCAATCGAGCTATATTGCTAAGAATATTCATTCCCCTATATCCCACAGTGCTAGGCAGGTTTGTTTGTGAACGGTGGGATTAAAGGCAGTAACTCAAGGTCTGAGGGAGAAATCTAACCGCTGATTGTACTGGTATGTATGGCAGCAGTTAGGTTCTTCCTTGAGATGCTGTCTTTTCACAACAGAAGGAATGGATTAGAAAACATCGGCCCTCAAAACACACTACACTTCATCCCATCAATTTCCGTTTTCGGAGACAAGACCTCTAAAATATAGAGCTAACTCATCTACAACTACTTGAAAGCAGGCCAAGTACGCAACCTTTCTCATGCAGTTTTCCCTTTGAATCTGTGGTCACGTCCCATGGTCACTATAACCACTTAATAATTCATCTTCATCTTCAAGTAACTCGGAGAGAATTGTCGTTCGACAATGCGGGTAACATGGAAGTGACAACTGACATCATACCTCTAACAGCACTCTAGATCCACTTGTTCACAACCAAATTCCCTCACCACTTCTTAATATCTCTTCTGCCTTCATCATCAATTCGTCTATGTGTTTCATTACCATAGGCGCCGTTAATGCTAACGATCCTATGTCACGAAATGTCATTCCTGGTATCTTGAAAACTCTGTCTAACCTATGTCGGCGATTTTGCGGTTCAAACTTTATGTAAAGATGGACAACAAGTTTCCTTATCTAGGACTCCAGAGTCTCATTTTATCGATAAACGCTACATCTACGGAACAAGCACAAGGGATTTAAATGCGATCATTTACTTGACCTCACCTGGTAAATATAGAAAACCAGAGCGATTTATTTTTGATGTACCTCGGGTCTAGACTGATCATTTTCGCCAGAGTACACAAGTATTCGGCACAAAAGCGGATCACGTGCTCCTAAACTGGATTTTAACACAGTTGCTTGAGTCGTACAACACACACTGTGTGCCTCCGTTTCCATTAATTGCAGTTCGGATGAAGTAAAGAACGAACTTTGTAGACAAACTACCATACGTCGTAATCATAGCAGAAAATTTTACCTCTTAATGCAGCAGTCCAAACTAAAGTGAAAGACACATAGATAGGTTTACAGTATCGTAGTTCAGTGAACAAATAACAGAGACCGTCTGCAGACATTATGCCTAAACAACCGTTTCTACTTAGCAAGCACCAACCTTAAGGATAAAGGGATGCATTGTCTAACATAATGACCCTTAAAATTGACTCAACCAATCGACGCAAATAAACCATATTGCCAGCAGCCATCAACGAGGAGGATCAATAGTAAAATACATGTAGTTGGACTCTGATCATCCTCCAGTGAGAGCGAGCATTTATCTGCTGCTTACTGGACGCCGAAAAGCCCAGGTAAGAAGTCCCTTTAGAGCCCAGCTTAATAACGAAACAGTCGAGTACATTTTAGGAACAACAAGAGAGACAAGTATTTAGTCATAGGAGTAAGTCAGTCAGTCAGTAACAACGTAGAACTTAGTACGTACGTACACCATTTCGAGTTGCCATACCACATTAGCACAGAGATGCAGTGGTCGATTCAAATCCCGTAGTGGAAGAGGTTGCAAGAGTATAAGCAGTAATCGGGAAGATTAGGGTTTGGAGATGTTATTTAACGAGTATAATCCAGTGAAATAAATTTGGAAAAAAAGGGACATGAAGAATTCAGAAGATTAGAATTTGGGAGAACATAGAGAGTGGATGCACCTGCGCCATTGCAAACGATTTTGAGCCATGTCATTCAGGGTCTCTAACCATCGGTTGCTATCATCTCGCGGTCCCCAACCAGGTAGTCTACACCTACCAACATGACTCAGTCCACTTGTCAGTGACTTCATGGATTTGTGCCATGTTTTGGTTTGGCCGCCCCTAGCTTTCTTCCAACCTACTCCTATACCACTGAATATAGCTCCTAGTCATAGGAGTAATGTTTAGTTCGGTAGGCTCGGGGAACGATGAAGAGCAAGCACAACTCAAACGTAGACTAACAAAACGTTTACTCAATTATCATGAGCAATGGTGGGCAGCGAAAGCAAAAGAGATGGGAAAAGTAGTGGCGGTGGGCGACTTTTCAGGCTTATCAAAATGCAAGTATTAAAAAATATAAACAATGATCTACTCTTAGCTTATACGACTAGACTGATGGACAGAACGCTTTAGGGAACAGTTTAATTTAACTTCAGATACCTTTCAGTCAAGCGCTACCTTCAATATGAACAATATGAACGGGAAATCGACACAAGTTCCCCAACTCTTAGTGATGTTGAGGAAACTACAGCTGATCCAAAGCAAGGAAGAGCAGTATGTCCTGACGAATTAACTGATAGTTCAGCTTCAGCAGTTAGACTGACTAAGATGCTATCTAAAGTCTTTTGATCACTTTCAGTAACTACCAACACATTTTGGATGCGTTACTCTCCTTCTAAATCCAAAATGTTGCTTTAGAACTAATCGACGTCAAGGCCTGAATTAATGATAGGGAGTAATGTAGTTGAGTGACGACCACTTCATTTGACTTGGAGGTCTCATCAGTCCTGAAAAATTTGTAAGTAGTTAGATGATAGCATGTTGTAATGGGCTAAATGATGGAATAGTTCGGTATCTCTGTTAATGCAACACATTTTAATAGATGAAATCTGTCAGATCATGTATCGAATCGCCTTTAAATCAAGAACAGAACAGACTGGTAAGCCTAATGTAGATTATTTTAAAAAAATATCATTTACATGAACTCTAAAACGCATTTATTTAGTGAAATTTTATAGATATTATCCTTCAGTACCACTTTTGTGATTACCATCATGAATTCTTTTCTTTTCTATTCAAAAGGTTATTTTATTCAGGAATGTTAATATTTTAGTTTCTTTTTACAAAAGAATAATAGCCAATTACTGAACAATGAATCGCTTACTTGTTCAAGTAAATTCAAACATTTTTGTATATCAGAACGCCATAATTTGTTCAATTCACTTGATGGTTTCCGTGACCAACGTTCACCATATTGTTTTCGTAAACTATTATCAGAACTCTCTTCATCATCTAGTGAACTTTTCTCCTAAACAATTGAAATAGAACAGTATTGAGTTGATAGTAAATAAATTTGTATAGAAAACAAGGAAATAGATTTATGCTCATTAGGAATCACAAAAGCTTATCTCGACTAAGTACATACATTCTTAAGTTATCATGAATCTGTGACACAATTATCTAGGTTTTCAGACAGTAATGATATAAAATCAACTCATTGAAATAAAAATTAATTTAATACAACTCAGTAACCACGTACAGGTTTTAAGTATTCGGCTTCAAATTTCTCTTAGGTGCGGAAGTTAGTGATACTGCTTGGGTGACAAATTGGATTGGAGCAGGACTCAATTTTGTGCCCAATGTTTCGAAATAACGGTGCTATAACTACAAAACTACTAATTTATCACCATTTTTTATTAGAAATAACAATCACACAATTATGTAAGCGAGTATAAGTTAATAAATTACGATAAATGTCATATTATGCGCGGACTAAAGGTACTCTTGAATAAACCAACTCAAACGTGTGTTACATAATTATAAAAAATCAATTGTTCGAGCTATCGTGATTAAAGCATACTTTTGTGGGAGGAAAAACATAGACAGTCGGATAGTATAACTTATTTATTTATTTTAACACATAGATATTGGTACAAAGAGGCACCAAATACATATGCGAGACACAAATCTCATTCGATATGTGTGAGGGCTGTGGTACTGCCCGGGTGCCCAGACCGAAGAAGGTGGTTTTCTTAAGGGGCCACACTCCGAGCCTTCGACCTGAGGGTCTGATCCACAAGGCAGTGAAGCAACGTAAGGAGATGCAGTCCCATGGAAGCCGGTGACCAACAATTGGTTCATACGCCATTTGTTCCCGCAGGATACTAGAGCCCATGTGCACCATTGGTTTGGAATCCGGTTAAAGCGCCGGACATTCGCTTTTCTTCCTCTCATTTTCGTAAACAACACCCCCGCCATGAGAAGGCAGTGAGTAGGACTTCCCTGGAAGAGGCTATATACGCGAGGCCGTGTGAGAGCATTTCGAGAGGGCGAGCGAACTCTCCCCACTCTCGGCCGTACCAGGGCATTTGAGGGATAGTATAACTATGTTAAGCTTAAATAAATGTGTGACTAAAAACAGAATATACAAACCCAGATTCAATTTCAGAATTATAAATTTAAGTAAATATTTATAACTCTAAATAAATTCAGTGTTTTTACAATTTCGATCAAATGTATTGAAAGCTTACAGCCTCAATGATTTCCTTATTACGTTGAACACATTCAGGTATCGACATTAGTTGCTGATACAATTTTTCTGCCCCACCATCTCGACGTATAGAAGTAGCTTTGGATAAAATATTATCCGTAATTGAGTTTGATCCCTTAGCAAGTAATGCTGCCGGGAAATTGTATGAAGCTAACACTCTGAAAATATCGAAAAATAACGCCATTAATAGCTTGTTACATAGGAAATGGTATTGAAGATATTAAAACATTTTTACAAAAAAAACCTGTAAATAAAATAAGGGATGGTTGAAGAAAAGAAGTTTTCAAAAAGCCAATTTCGTAGTGATGCAACAAAAAGATTTTCTTGATCAAGAACCATAGGAAAATCGCGGTAAGATCGTTGAAGTACACACTATAATGTTAGTGAAACCGAAAAAGTGTAACTGCAATTTATAAACCAATTACCAAAACTCTTAAAATTGACATAAAGTCTGACTTGAAAGTAATATTCCACTTTACACTCAAAAGACAATGCCTACATTTAAGTAGTCAGAGAAACACAACACGAATTGTTTGACGAAAGTGAAAAGCATAGAAGACAAATACGAATGTCAGTGGAACAAGTTGGAATAACACAAACGTAGAAGATCCAGGAGGTTCTGGGCAACAAGAACCATCATCATAAGGAATGTATCACTATCGAAACTCTAGACAAGATTCAAGAAAGGAGGAACAAGACGGTAATTAACAACAGACGAACAGGAACAAAGAAAGCAAGAGGCACAAGCTGAATAAACAGAAGAAAACAAGCAAGTGAAGAGGAGCAATACATCTGACAAGCAGAAGCACATGGAAGACCTAGTGAAGACAGTGGAAAAAGCTGCAAAAGAAGGAAATATGAAACAATTATATGATAAAGAAGAAACCTACAGAGAAATATAATAAACCAGAGAAATCGGTCAAGGACGAAGAAAGCAAGACGATCACAGAGATTCAAGAACAGAGAAATAGATAAGTGAAACAATTCAAGGAACTCTTAAATAGACCATCTTTATTGAATCCACCGGACATCGAAGCAGCGCACACAGACCGTCCTGTACATGTCACTAAACCGACAATCAAAGAAATCCGCATGACCATCAGACAAATCAAGAGTCGAAAAGCAGCTGGGACTGACAATATACCAGCTAAAGCACTAAAGTCACACAGAAATAACTGCGAACAGGCTCCACGTTCTCTTTAGGAAGATTTGGGGGGAAGAACAAGTGTCAGCAGATTAGAAAGAAGGACACTTCACCAAGATACCAAAGAAAGGAGATCTGAGCAAGTGTGAGAATCACAGAGACATCACATTACTGTCAGTACCAGGAAAGGTTTTCAACAGTGTTGCTAAACCGGATGAAAGACTCAGTAGACGTCCAGAATCGAGATCAACAAAGTGGATTCCGTAACGACCGGTCGCGCATATACCAAATCGCGACACTACGGATCATCGTTGAACAATCAGTCCGTTGGCCGGATACTATTAGTAAGAGCCTATTGTGAGTGAGAAGATACCAGCTTCCAGATGCAGAGGAAATTAGAAAAAGACGCTGGATATCGGTAGGACATACATTGCAGGAATCAAACTGCATCAAGAGGAAATCCCTAACTTGAAATCCTGGAAGGTAACGGAAAAGAGGAAGGCCAAAAACACACTACGCTGAGGACTGGAAGTAGACATCAAGAGGATGAATAGCAACTGGAAAAGATTGCCCAGGACAGAGTTGAATGGAGAACGTTGGTGAGTGGTCTATGCTCCTTCACGAGGTGTAACAGATGTAAGCGAGTAAGTACGCTCAAATACGAGTAGCAGATAAATGACGATGTTTACACATAAATCGATAAAATGACATATGTACAAAATATGCAACTAAAGTGTAACAATGAGCAGTTATAAGGAAGTTAGAAATCGCCGACGATTCCATTAGAATACAACGCGCAATACTATTGTTGGAGACGTTTGGAAGAAACTTAGGGGCGGTCAAATCAAAATGTGACATTGGTTCTTGAAGTCACTAACTTTTAGTCTTAGCCATGTTGGTAGGTGCAAACTACTTGGTTGGGGTCCGCGTGACTATCGTAGCCAATAATTGGAGACTGGGTGATATGGCTCAGAATCGATCACAATGGTGTAGGTGTATACACTATTTGTCTACCCCTAAACCGTGAGATTAGAGTCGCTTCATATATTTCTTTCTAGGAACTAATTATTTCTTCCTGCAAAATATCCTTATATGCAATCTTTCTTTTATATATTACTACCATTGAAATAACTACTTTTATGAATTTGGTGATCTTGTGCTAATGAGGTGTGGAAATTTGGACAGATGCGTATATGTACCTGACCCTGTGTTGTAACTGACTGACTGACCATTAGAACAAGCGACATCCTGAGATAGTCATTTATATCACGCTTCTGTGTTTGTGATGTTTGATGTGATCAATTCAAGGATAAATAAGGCGTTTATTTTACCAGTAGAGCGTGAGGGATAGATAATTGCTTATTAAAGGGTAAAATTTGAAACAACCCTCTCCGTATTGCTGTGGACATAGATTACCAGCATTTGGTCACTCAACATCTTCAAAATGTTGCTCATGTGTTGTAGGATCATCAGGTAAATAATAATGGTTTTAAGCGTTGAATACTAGAAAAAGTTAATGGGACTGTTAATCAATATCGATTGTGACAAATGGAACATACACCAAGCAGGTCCAACCACCACTCCTACATCGATGTTTTAAATTAGGAGTTTTGAACATAATCTTGATTTGGAAACAGTTTTGCATGGTTTCTCTTTGCGCCCGATTCTCTAATATTATAGTTTCTTCCACACTAAGTTTTCATTTATCTGTTGACTGGAAATGATAACTTGAAAGAATATATATTTATATGGGATGACCAAATCGAGAGTCACTATATACACAAAATTGCTTGAGGTTTAAAAGTCACCCATAATTGGGTTTTAAATATCTGGTTCTGGTATTAATATTTTTATTATTTCTGTGATTACACGGGTTGAATAAAAAAAGATGCACTCACTCATTCACTTTAGTAGATGCTCCTCGTAGCGTGCAAATTTCGCTGTCGATAAGAGATGCACGAACACCTTTGGCAGTGTTAACAGCTTCTGTAACAGCGATAGGAAGTAGATTTTCGAAGTAATCTTTGGTATTCGATGAAGACAAAGGGAACGTGAGTGGGGTTTTTTTAATGACATCAACACTTTCGACAGGAGCAAGACTTCCTCTGGGAGGTACCTTTTCGTGATATATATGATCATTGTCTTTTATTGCAACTGATTCTTCTTGTTTAAATTGTTCCACTAAATTCTTTCGCTGAAAACAACTATTTCGAGCAACACCTTTGATTAGCTCATAAGCAAACTGTATTAAGAAAAAGTAGGATAAAATGGGAGCGCAAAAACTTAAGACATGAAAATTTAGGTGTTAATACAATAGAAAGTTCTGAAAAAATGAAGTAATGCATTATAATTTTTTCTAGATGTTTCTAATTGTTTCTGAAACAGTAACACAGGTTTTGAAGTATATCGACAGTGCTAGGCTTTGTATCCTCATTTATATCAAGTTAAAAGCCGAATAATAGCATTCATGAATACTTTTATAACAATATCAAAAGCCAATCCGTAATATTTGAATAAATAATGAGGAATTTTAACAAAGAATATGACAATTACACAATGGGATAACATGAAACATTCATCAAAATAAAGACAAAGTATACATTCGAAAGTTTTAAAGAATGAATTAATACAAGAACTTATTCATTTATGTAGGAAGTGATTAAAATATAATATCACGTTTTAATTATTATGAATATAATTTTTGAAAATAAATTCATTGCTAGTATAGGGAAATTCGTGGAGACTAGAATTTTCACAGTTTAAACTAAGAACTGACTTAATCACGAAGCTCTTATAAAATTTGAATTATTCTCGAACAAAAAGTGATTACAATAATTTGACACACCATTATCAGTTATATGCTTTTCAGTAGACAAAATATGCTATCTTATTAACAATGTCCGAGATGATTCACGTGTATGGAGAAACCGGAACAGGAAGATTATGGTGGCGAAGCCATGGTTACTATAACATAGGGAAATTGCTGGTTAACTAATAGCACATAGAATTTCCAACAAAATAAAACATTACTGAGAACATGAACCGATTCAAGTTAAACAACCATTGGAAACCTGAAAGTATTGGATGGTTATTTTGTTTTAGTATGGGACTTTCCAGCAGTTAGGATACACAAGTACAAAACCGGGAACCAAAAACCTAAGACTTCTGGTCTCGTGCACGAACACCTAACCTTTAGACCAATGAGTTGGGATTCAACGATGTAAATGTCTAGTTAAAATCACCCCACAATACTGAACGACCACCTTCTATTGTGCTTGGTAGTTAACCCTCACATCTGATACGGTTGAACCCCACTATGGCTTTTCATTCGAACTCCGGGCATTTTCTTTCGAAGCCCGTTATAAGTGGGAAAATAATAATTATTAGTATGATGGAGCAATACTTTGGATCAATTGAAGTTAGACTTGCATACCACTGGATACTCGCTCAGTGATCTAGAGGTTAGGCATTCGCGCGCGAGACCGAAGATCCCGGGCTCGATTCATGGAGGTGAGGTTGTGGGTGTGCGCTAATGAAAAGTCCCATGCCAGAACGAAACGGTTGTTTAGTGTTCCCAGGTTCTGAAAAGCGGTCTAACTTAGATTTCTTTTATGGTCTCAATAGATTTCACAATCCTATACTAAAAATAATACTGAGTTGAGAACCTTCTTTACACACCAAAACGAAATGTTATCAGGGAAAACGACAAATGATGGTTAGCATATGATGACATATAATGAAGAATAGTCAAAGAATCACTTTAAAACCATACTGCTCTTCTAAAGAAATCCTTCAATGATATGACAATATTTTCGTTGCACCAATTTATGATTTAACGGATGAAAAGCAAGCCTTTATTTCGTTGACCTGACACTTTAGACATAATATCCTAAAAACAGATCATTGATAAGAAATACTTTTTGAAGATAATAAAAAGTCGGTCACCTGAGAATGAGATGACAATTTCTTTATTTGTAGTCCCCACTTTTAATTATGCAATATTACGAACGTTCTATATCAATATGAATCAGGCTTTAGGAACTAGAAGAGTTCACAAAATATGGTAAATTCACATAGATCAGGTTCAGTTATTGTCCTTATCTAATGGAAAAAGTACTGCTTAAAAAGTTAAAGTGAACTAAGTTTAAAACTGCTGCCTATTCTGATATGTTTGTAGACTAAAATGATTTTTCTTAACTCTGGATTCAATAAAATAAGCTATCTCTCCTGCCGGCTAACTATATTGACAAGTTCAGGATTGTATAGAAGCTTTTCTCGGCAGAGACCCCGGGAGAATCGAATTACATACAAATTCATTCTATTAAGTATTGAGTAACTAAATGATCAGTAGTGACAGCAATTTTCACCGATTTCAAAATTACAAGGAATTAATCAGCAAGATGAGAATGCATTGGGAATCAAACTAACTGCATTCTAAAAGAACCAATAAGATTGGAAATTTACTGAGAGTCAGTGAATGAAAAACACTGAATTAATCAATACAACAAAAACTACCTTAAATCAACATGCAAATTTTAAGAATAATTTCCTTCAGAATGTGTCGTATTTGGTGATTGAGCATTATCAACGTATTCTTAACAACACAATAAAATAGAAAGATCGAGAAAACGTTTGCAAGAGTAGACAGCACAAAATAGATTGTATAATATCTGATTATAGGTTCCAAACTATTCTCAGTATTTCCTTCACATCCCCTTAACGGCTAAGAGAAACAATTACTAGCTTTAAAGAATAATTGAGTGACTTGCACCAACTTTACTCTTTATTACATCTTAGCCTAAGTCAGACATTCAACGAATATGATCAGAATACATTGTAATGACCTTGGTAAAAAGATACCTCTAACACTGTCAACTTATTTACAACTCAACCTTATCATTACTGTCTATGAAACTAACAAACTAGTAATTCTACAATAAGAATATATTAGATACATTTAGCTACATCTTATATCACTACAATAAAGCGATCTGAGCAAGAAAGAAGTTAGCTTAAATGCACTGTAGCTTTTTCTAATTGTTTAATTGAAAAAGATAATTGAAACGTTGAAAAAAGCAATTCAGCTTACTGATATGCGAGCTACTTGTTCCCCGTACTGTCTGGCTTCGCAACAAGCTTTAGATTGATGGTATTGTGTCAAAGCTTCATATAAACCTTTTTTCATGCTTAATACACCAGACCAATCCTAAGATAAGAATGATGAGAAAATTACACTACTTTTGGAACAACATTTTTAGCTCCACCAGAACAATCTGACAGGCAGTCTTCGTAAAGATTAGTCAAGGTTGATGCTATTCTTGCTAAAATGGCAGGCTTTTTCTTATCTAAGGGAAAAATATCATATTATAATACTGTATCATTACCTTTTTCAGCTTTCGAGAGGACACATTCATATGCTTGAGCAAGCATAAGATTACTGAACAGTGTTAGTGCTGATGAAGTTAAATCTGGTAGAGGATCTTTAACCCCAGACATCAAGTCTGAAGATATGTAATCAAATGTGCAGGAAGCAATCTGTAAAGGAAATTAAAAAAGACGTGAAACATGGTGATGAAACGGAAGTTTTCACAATTATCTCCATGTCATATTAACATGTAGGAAGATTTTTCACGAAGAGCTCTTATCGTTAATGAGCATTAAACACTGTTAACCGAATAATGCAGTGTGACCAATGAGATAACATTCCGCTACACAATCCACTTGATGTTATGTAGTTGGAATAAGAAATTCCACTAGGAAGTGTCTGAAAATCTAAACAAATTAGGAATAACGTCTCAGGCTTATTATTTTATCTAGTTTTCAGAGTGCATAGAGACAATTAGAAGCAAAAATGAATTTTATGGATGTTGTTTAAACTTTCCCTCTTTCACATTTGCATTATAATCCACAAATTATATGCAATCTGAGAACCCTTTTCAAAAATCAACTGAAGTATTACAATTATTTCTTTATTTGAACGCATAAATATTGGTACAAGGGAGCACCAAATACATATGCGCCATACAACAACAATGAGTGTGAGGGAATAGAGAATGTGAAGTGCGTATGATATAGATAATAACAACAACAAACAGATATTAATGTATGAGGGTGAAATAATAATAATAGTGGGAGAAACAGTTCAGTTAATAAAAATACAACCAGAAATATTCCTTTCAGTTAAAGAAGTTACGTTCCCCTTTATGAAGAAAGTAAAACAAGTTACCACAGGATCACCACTGGCTTCTATTCTGAGCCATGTCTGATAGTGTCTCAAACCACTGTGCTGCACCATCTCTAGGACCTCAATTAGGAAGACGTGAAGGACCAACAGAAGTCAGTCATTTACAGCATTCTTTCATACTTCAACACAATATCATATACTGACCACCTCACCGCTTTTTGCAACCAGTCCCAGCATCGGTAAACAATGCACGACTTGGAATTCTCTGGGGCGACATTCGAAGAACATGTGTAAGCCAGCAAAGTCGATGTTTCAGGATAGTGACACTAATTGAGTTATCGTCTCTGTGCCCGAACACACGATGCCGAACCTCTGCATTACTAACATGATGTTGCCACTTGATGTCAGCAATCCTTTGGAGATCGCGATGACCAAACACACTATCGTCTAACATCCTCAACTCAGAGAGACGAGGATTCACAAGCATAAAGTAAAACTGCTCTCACCGACGCGTTGTAGATTCGAACTTTTACAGCCAGACAAACATCATGAAGGCGCCAAAAATAACTCAGATTGGCATAAGCCGCTTTGGCTTTCACTATACGTGCATTGATCTCATCACTCACGCCATCAATATCACTTATGCAACTGCCCAGATACACGAACTGCTCGACTACTTCTATCTGCTCACTATCCAGGGTGAGTACAGGATCAGGGTTCTGCCAGTCTTGTAAAAGTACTTTGCACTTCGAATGTGCGAACCACATACCATATCTACGGACACTAATTGCCAATTGAATAAGTGCGGACTGCATGGTTTGGGTATTATCCCACAGTAAGACAACACTATCCGCATTCTCAAGGTCGAGAAGTCTTTCTCCAGGCAACAGATCTACATGATTCTTGACCTGTGATAAGTATGATGTTCTAACATTCGGCGGAGGGTGAAGATATGGTCGATACATCCTCGACCGGAACGAAAATCAGCCTGTTCCTCGCGAGTCAATCTTTCTCGCGTTTTGAACAATCTACGAAGTATGACTAAAGTCAATAGTTTGGACTCAGATGGAAGTGTACTTATCCCTCGATAGTTGTTACAGAAATTACGTGAACCCTTTTTAAAGATAAGGACAACTATCGACTCATTCCATGATGTTGAAGCACTATCTAATTGTCAGACCATTGTAACCAACTCAGACAGTTCCTTGACCAGAAAGTCACCACCATCTTTTAAAAGGACCGGAGGTAAGTCACATGGACCCGGTGATTTGTAGCGCTTCAAGAGTTGGAGTTCCTTCTATTTTTAGTATTTACTGTCATTTCATTTGATTTTTTTTTGGGCTGTTGTACTGCCCGAGCACCCAGACCGAAGCAGGTGGTTTTCTTAAGGTGCCACACCTGGAGCCTTCGACCTACAGGTTTGATCCACAAGGTAGTGGAACAACCTCAGGAGATGCAGTTCCATGGCAACCGGTCACCAACAATTGGTTCATGCACTATTCGTTCCTTTAGGATCCTGGAGCCTATGTTCACTATTAGTTTGGAATCAGAGTTTTCCAACTCCCCTAGGTGGAGTCTCCCTGTCCAACGACCCGGTTAAAGCGCCGAACATTCTCTTTTTCTCTTCTCAATTTCGTAAACAGCACCTCCACCGCAAGAAGGCAGTAAGTAGGACTTCCCTAGCAGTGGCTGTATACGCGTGGCCATGTGAGAGTGTTTCGAGAGGGAGAACTGACTTTCCCCACCCTTGGCCGTATCAGGGCATTACAAACTCTCCCTCCATCTGTAGATTCAAACTTTTGTTCCATGTGCGATTATTTGAGGACTTTGTGAGGTCAGTGTCCAGTTTCGATACCCCATCTAGCACTAAACGCCAGAGTGGACATAGCAATATGTAGTTAGATCCGTTATTACCAATCACTGATATGGTCTTTAACTGTAAGGATACACTAAAAGAAAACATGGGTGCACAAAGAAGTCGCTTAGTGATCTCCACCTACGTACCGACGGGTTACAGTTAGGATCCAACCAAGGACGAGTTCTACTAACAGCCAAATGATCTTTTTAATACATCGTATTAAAATGGACGTCTTGGTGCTAGTTGAATATTTAAATTAACAGGCCGGAAGTTTAGGCACAAAGGTGTTGCTTCGATAGCTAAATGGGATGCGATGGTTGCTGTGACCGTTATCTATAGCAAGTGACAACCGCGATAATTACCGATGTGCTATTGTGCACCCATCTACAGCACAAACCTTGACTCACATTGAGGTCAACTGCTCTTTTTGGAGTACATATCTTAATTATAATCAGGTATGCTCTAAACTTATCTCACACTGCGATGGTCAACAAATTTATGATCCCATACAAACTGATAAAAGCTAATTGGCCACACCGTAAAGTACAGATGAGCACTGGCTGCATTTGGATAGCGCCATGGAAATGGTAAGTAAAGCCATTTGATGTTTCGCAAAACGTCACCCTTATAAAATATAGGTTCTTAAATGTTTCCTAAAACTTCTTGAATGTACAATGGTCTATTGTGTCGAATAGAGAATCCAAAAGTAAACGTAAGTCCCTAACCAAAGAGATTTCACAAAACTCGCGTGAGGACTAAGAAACCTGGTGTTTGTATAATCCTGACAGGCTGGAAGTAACAGCTACATCTGAAAAATTTCAGGGGCCGTTTCAACTTGTCCCAGTCAATGTCACCAAGTAGTTTGGTACCAACGAAACAGTCGGTTAATTTGGCGGTATTTCGATTGGGAGTCTCTAAAGACGTCCTGGTAATTAAATAAAGCATTTTGGAAAACGGCTTACCTGGTCTTTGACCACAGTAACATCGATAGGACGGTTCTATCCTCATTACTCATCAGTGTTTTAAACTATGTGTGGTTAGGAAGGGTTGTTCGACCTACTATTCCTACACCATTTTGACATCAGTGGCATTCTAGAAACACCTCTGAAGAAAATACACGGTGGTTGAGTAGATATGTTTCCCACAGATACACTTCGAACTCTGGTAGGCAGATGACATTACCTTACCGTGTGATGATACACAGGTTATCCAAATCACAAATAAACAATTGGTAATTAATATCCGTAGGTATAGTATGTACCTCACGACTTCAAAGTGTGAAATACTCCCGAAAGATTGCCAAGGACATGTGTCTGAACTCACTCAATGTAATGAACCGTAATAAAGTTGGAAATATGTATCTTTAGTAATTGTGAGTCTAGTGGGTGATGTGACAGATAAGATAAATCTGCTTACAGAGAAAGTCAGAGTAGTTTATACCAATCTGGGTCATCTTTGAAGCCAGCATAATGTAAGGTTGAGGAATATCTGGTTTATAACCAATTAGTCAGGGTGGTTCTGATGACGTTCGGTAACGCTCTGTGTTCGGTCATCAGCGCCTTTGAAAGATTACTCACATTAGGTGGCAACACCATGTTAATAAAGGATAAGTTCATCAGAATGCGTCCAGGAGTAATGACAGTAATTCCATTGGTTTCACCACTCTAAAACGTCGACTTTAGTGGTCTGATCGTATTTTACGGGGATCAACCCAGCTGTTGTCATAATGCGCATTGTTTGCTAATCTCGGGACTGAGTGGAAAATGCCGAGGAGGCCAGTTTATGAATGATATCTGCTAATCCAAGACAACTTAAAATTTGGGGTCCCAGAGACTGTGCAATTTCGTGGCTAGACACGTTATCGTATATATATGTTATACATTGCTATCCATATTTAAAAAACTATATTGTTGATACCTTGAAAGATTTCAAAGCTTGTTGGAGTGAATTTTCACAATTGGGACGGCACGATTCACCAAGTTGACTGTGAGCAGCACCATAGCAAAACAAGACATTTGAACGTTCAAATTTGAGAGAGCTTTCTTCTATGAAAAAAAAATTAACATCAAGTAAGAGCTTACTTTTGTTAGATTTTCCAGAAATATCGCTCCACTTAAAATCAACTCGTGAAGCAACATTCACATTTAGACGTCCTTCTAATTGATACATCGCATCATGGTACCTACAAAAATAATTCCAGAAACTAAGTTAAATAGTCAACACCAGCATTACTATAAGACAAATAGACGCAAACAAATTGAAGTTTATACGAATATTCGTCAATATTAAAACGAATAGTTCGACAAAAATTGGGCTCCAAGTACAGAAAAGTCAGTATAGGTGAAAATTATATTTGAAATTATCTGAGCGATTGAAATTTAAATAATTCCAACGTTTCATCCAGCAAACTCATCTGGACTTCTTCAGAGTAATGATCAAAATCAAAAAAATATATAGCGCTTTAAGAATCAAATCAGATTAAATCTATACTGTGTTAACCCAATCTTATTTGGATGTTGACTTTCGTAAATAGAATAACATGAGTCAGTTAAATGCGAATCACGTAAAAAGTCCACGATCTGAAAATAAATGACTGGACGAATTGTGTATGTGTATGTATGTGTAAGATTGAGATATTAATAGCTGACAATAGGTGTTAATATGTTTTTGTATGAAGGAAAAAATAAAAGCGCAAGTTGAAGGTTGAAAAATTGTTACTGAATCATTGATGAGCACGTAACATGAGAATCATCAAATATACATTTGTATTGTTAAAATAACCCGCATTAATTTCAATCAGAATAACGATGTATGTGAAATAAACAGGTTGGATAAAGAATGGGTCCAAATACTTGTTAACGAATATTTGCGACGTAGTTGCTAGTTGAATACCATTCTCTCGGTTCAGGCTATTCTTGTTCGCCCATATATACAGCGCTTTTGATGTCAATTTTTATTTGTGAGTGTTAAAACCTTTCTGGAGCATTTTGGTCCCTTCAAAAATAATCGTATGTCCTGTTTCCAACGCAAGTAACACTATCACCAACTTCTTCTAAAGTTTCTTTAAGTCAACCGAGGATTTGGGAACATTTTTCAAACATTGTTTGTGTACTTTTAACCTCACACTCAATTGTCCGGAAGTTTCTTCAACATAAGCTGCATTACAATCATGAGAATTCATCTCGTAGACGACATTCTGTTGTTCTTCCTTTGAAAATCTGTCCTTAACTTTCACAAATGTTGATCTTATGGTGTCACTAGCCCGAAAATACACTCCGATATTATGTTTGTTTAGAATCTTCTTGATTTCTTTCAATGTTTCCCTACGGTATAGGATGACCATGGTGGTCTTCCATTCTTTCAGTACACTCCAATTTACCTTTTCTTTCATTCCTAATAATCTTCTTTAAAATCTCTTCGGGGTAATTGTTATCCCTAAACACAGACAAAACTCTATTCAATTCAACCTGTTAGTCTTCCTTATCCGTAACGAGATTAATACTTCTGTTAATTATTTTTTTTACAAATGTAACTTCTGTACAAAACGCATGAACCGAACCAAAATCTAAGTATCTTTCAGAATGTGTTGATTTCCTGAATACATTTTCAACTTATTATTATGTCTTCGTTCAAACAAACAATCGAGAAACGCTAGTTTGTGGTCACTGGATTTTATTTCCTTTGTTAGATTAATGCTGTCCGTAATGGTGTTTATATTTTCAAACAAACCTTCTGAATCATTCCGTTTAATGATAATAAAAATCCCATCTACATACCGTAGCCAGACTCTTGGTGGACATAAACATCTTGTGATTGCACTGGTTTCTAGAGAATACATGAATAAATTCACTACAATCGAAAAAACTGGCGAACACATTGTTATACCTTCTTTCTGTCTGTAAAGGTCTCCCCAAAATGTGAATAAGGTAGATCGTAAACACAATTTCAAGCACTTAGTAACTCCAGATGGATCTAATAGGCATCGTAAGTTCAAATGTGAGTCAGATTCTAAACAGTCATAAATAACATCTAATGCTCTATTGGTAGGTACATTAATAAATAAGGAAGATACGTCAAAACACGGGATTCATAGAAGTACTTAATTCAATGATGGTAATATATTAAAAGATTGCATATTTGGATAAAGTACAGGAAGAAATAATTAGTTCCTAGAAAGAAAGATATGAAGCGACTCTAATCTCACGGTTTAAGGGTAGACAAATAATGTATACACCTACACCATTGTGATCGGTTCTGGGTTATGTTACCCAGTCTCCAACTATTGGTTACGATAGTCACGCGGACCCCAACCAAGTAGTCTGCATCTACCAACATGGCTAAGACTAAAAGTTAGTGACCTCAAAAACCGATGTCACATTTTCGGTTGGCCGCCCCTAACTTTCTTCCAACTATCCGCAACACTAGTCAGCATTGAGCATCGTGGTAGTCGGAGTAAGTAACACGTAGCCCAAACATCTCAGTCGATGGAGATTCACAACCTCATCAACTGATTCACCAATATCCCATAACAGCTTGCGTCTAACCTCACTCCCAGCAGATGAGATATTTTTAAGGCATCTGCGGTCAAATACTAGTAGCTTAAGAGTATCCCATCACTGATCAACTTGTCATACAGTTTAAGTATCCTAGGTAAGTATTTCGCTAGATTGTATGTCCGTGAATTTGTAAAATCAACCAATCAATCGAAATACCCGAAACAACAAGATTTAATTACTAATTTCTGGTCCCTGTTCTTTTTACACAATGTATTTTCGCTATAATAATGTGGTAACACTGACAAATACACATTTGCGATGTGTACGAGTACGGATCTAGATCATATTTGGAAAATGTAATTTACTTGCATCACATCACCACATACCTTTTTCGAATGGTTTACTGGACACAAAACAGTGACAAAAATAGGAGTTCCACATGGTACATGTTAACCAGATTACTCTGATTAGCGAGAATGAACACAACCAATTGATCAGTTGGATTGTTTTTATTTAGGTTTTTAAACACCTATAATGAACTTTATGAGGACAACTGTTACCATAGTATTTTGCTTGCTTTGAATAAGAGCAATCTATATAAGGAATTTCAATCCACAAGAATTACAAAACAGCGTCTTACTAATGGGATCATGAATTTTAAGTTTTTGAATTGCTAATCAAAGATCTCCGGACAATAAGCAAAAGCTTGGGATTTCACATCTACCTACTGATTATATCAGTCACACTAGAAAGATGCCAAGTATTATAATGTAGTAAACAATAAATCTCCAAAGACCAGTAGTCAAATAGTTAAACTTTAAAAGGCATTATGAGATATCCATAGCAAACCGATAAGCAGTTGGGGTAGAAATATGCCGACTTTTTGAAGCTGGGATAGAAAATTAGTGCTACGTAACCACAAGGCAATAGCGAACGGTATGAGGGAGATTAAGCACTAAAGACCGTTCAAAAGACCTATTTTATACGATATAATAGTGTGAATTAAAACGAGAATATCAAGAAGAGTTATTAGTACCATTCAACTTACGCTGCGATTGCTTCAACTGTCGGGTTGTAGTTATCGCCTTTGACACATGCGACAGTCCGCATTGACGATAACTCACCAAGTGAACCAAGGCACGCATTCGCGGTTAAAGCACCATATTGCAGGGCGATCAACTGTTGAAAATTACTGGATAAATCAACAGGAGCCGACTTCTTCAAAGGAATACTCAAGAAATTCATAATCCGCCCGGTTCGAAAGTCAGACGAATAGCCCGCAAACCCAAGGTCAAATACATAAGACGTTGTACTACAGACATAGCAAAAAGAAATTCTACATGAAACTATATTTGTGACATCAAAATGGGTGTTTTCTTGCAATGGTCAGTTGAATTTTTATATAGTAAGAGAAAGTTATAGATTTTGAGTCATAGTTGTTTCGTTGATTCAAAATGGTTATGGACGAAATAAAAGAAGCTTTCGCTTAACGAGCTTCCGTGTCTAGTAGCTGTGGGTCACCAATACCTCTGGGTGTTACCCCCTAGGTTAGTGTTGTAACTAAGCATAAGTAGGTGTTTAAGAGGATGGCCAGAAGTGTTAAGGATACTATAAGCCATTAGAAAGTCACATCTAAGACGCCTATACTCTAATTCGAAAAGGCTAAGTGGTTGTAGGCGCTCGTCATAAGGTTTAAATTTGATACTTAGACTGATTTCGTGTCTCGCCGTTGGATACGCTCAAGAGTGTCCTTATCCTTTTGTAGTGAGGGTGGAAACGCTATGTTTCCGTACTCTAAATGGGGACAAATAAAAGTGTTGAAGATTATGTGGAAAGTTCTTTCGTCAAACTGGCCAAAAATAAGCTCCAATGTTATCAGCGCAAGGTTTGCTCGGAATTCATTTTTGTCACAGTTAGCATAAGACTTTAGATCGTAGGGCACTAGGACTCCTAAATCTTTTTCGACTCGGGATGCTACTAAAGAAGAGTATCCTAAGTTGTAACTGTAGTCTGCGACTTATCGCAGGTGGACTACTTTACACTTTGAAGTGTTAAGAGTAAGTCCTTTCTCGTTTACCCAACTTTGAAGTCGAGTCAGATCCTCCTGAAGTGCCTGTATATCGTCTTGGATGCGTATCCCTCTTCAAAGTTTCACGTCGTCGGCAAAAAGTAATAAGTCTGACGTTACCTGTTGTAGAATATCATTTATATAAACCAAGAAGAGAAGAGGTCCTAGTACTGAGCCCTGGGGGACCTCACAAGGACATTCCATAGCCTGAGATAAAGTGAAATCAGCTCTGACCTTAAAATGTCGATTTTTCAGGTATGAAGTGAGACAATCGATTAGAGGTGGTCTGATTCTCAATCGTTTGAGCTTATCGATAAAACATGTATGGTTAACCTTATCAAAACTTTTGAGAAATCTAGGTAGATGATATCAACCTTCTCCCTGCGATCGAGGATGCTTGTCCATCTGTCCACCGCAGTCAGCAGGTTAGTTGTACAAGAGTAACCCTTCCTGAAACCATGCTATTGGGGTTGGAAGAAATTTATTGACAGCAATTAGTCATTTATACCATCACAAATCATAGAGCCAATATACTGAGAGGTTGTCAACTAAGACTTCTTCGTCTGTAAATACAGTCTAAGCGCGATGGCGTCTGACTGTTTCGCCAACGAGTTACCGACTTCACATTTTTGTATAATCCAAAGTCCTCAATGAAGTTGAAGAACCGAGCTTCATTTGAGTTTTCACCTCCAATTTACGTATGTTCCGCGAAGTGGACTCTAGGGAGATTGAAGTCCCCTAGAATCAGGATATGAGTGAAACTGAGACGAGTATGTCGGAATAGTTTTTTCAGCATACGACTGTCATACTCGATGTCGACAATACCATTCCTATATATGACTCCGACTAGACACCTCGAAGTACTAGACAATCTTACAGAGCACCGTATGAATTCCTCAAGATAGTTAAACTCGAGGTTATGAACTTGATGTACCTCCAAGCAAGATTGTATTTATACAGCTACTCCAGCCCCACTTCCAGATTTTCTGTCGTTGCGGAACAAAGACATCCTAGGTACTGCTAGCTCCAAATCCGAGAACTGAGACGATATCCAAGTTTCAGATAGTCGTGTCAGATAAGCATTACTAGAATTGCTGAGTTCACGGAGCCCAACGATTTTATTCGGCAAACTCGCGACATTCATGAATAAGCAGTTTATGCTTTCGATTTGAAACGCGTGAGATTCTCCTTCTTGTTTGTTTGCATAAGCCTTATAAGAATGGACAGGTAGCCTACCTATAGAAGGTTTTCCAAGCTGATAGTTCTTGTCCTTTCCATGTGTTTTCATGATCAAGACAATCCATATTTGGAATGATCGGCTCCAACTGGCCTTTGTGCTTGATCCTAGCGTCATGTGGTTTATTCGGATGCATATGGATTCCGGTTGGCAACCAAAGTCCGTTAACACCAAATGCTTCCAGGGTTGCAGCCGCCATGTGAGAGAATAGAAAAATTATTGTCATTAGTCGGGATCTAGAATCGCCGTCCTTCTCGGCTAGTTTTTAGATGGTGGTTGGAGGTAGTCAACAGGAAACCCTGGACTCGGGTTTCGTGCTACTTGGCACTCGTCAGCAAAGTGTACCTGTAATCTTGAGGGAACTGGTGCTCCCTGACGGATTCGATCTCGTGTCACCCAGCTTCACAGTCAGAGACGTTACCACTGAGCTATCCGAGCCGTGACTTACCTCCTGTACGACTGACATCTAATCACAATTGATTGATCACTGGGTGGTGATCAATGTCATGCTTGTCTAGTCCTTATTAGTGCAGATCGAATGCTATCGATCATGTTGCAATGTGGCCACCAGTCCAGGTGACTCGACACTGCGGGCACTATGTATTGAGATTTTAGATGGTGGTTGGAGGTAGTCAACAGGAAACCCTGGACCCGGGTTTCGTGCTACTTGGCACTCGTCAGCAAGGTGTACCTGTAATCTTGAGGGAACTGGTACCTGATCACCACCCAGTGATCAATCAATTGTGATTCTCGGCTAGTCTCATCACTTGTTAAGCCAGTATGTTTTTGAGCTCTAAGGATTACTTGATGAATTTCCATTCCCTAATATAAAAGTTTGTGTGACCAGGGTCCGTATTTTCCGATACGCCTTGCGTAATTATATTTCTTCCGCGGAAAACCTTCTCGCGAGATTCCTTAGGGATGTTCCGGATGAGATTGCGCTCAGAATACTCTATGTTGGGCAGTATTCTGACATTCCCATTCGACATCAGTAAGTGACTAGGCAGTAGGACATCTCTGCGTCGGTAGCGTTAATGAGTGTTGCACGAAGTCGTTTTGGATGATTTTGATGCTTAAAGTTCTTGTCCCGAGTGAGCCGTGTGACCGTCAAAGGCTCTATTCTGATTAAATCAAGCTTCTCACAGCATACTATCATGTTTGTGCTGCAAGCGGAGAAGTTTATAGCTGTCTTTAGGGTGATCTTATCCGCAACGCAACCATGTAAACTTAATGTATCGGTCATCTGTGCGTTCAAGTAACCACAGATTTTGTCATTTCATAATGTATTTTTAACTAAATAACTAGATTATATAGCTAATTTTGATCTTTTTTTTATATTTTTATTTGCCACGTCCGACTGCGTTACACTGCACGTCCATTGCATGCTGGGATGATATCTCAAGTTATAGTGAGTTTATTCACATAGTTGATTGTTTCCAGATAGACTGTCAGTGCATGATTTTACTGTAGAAAGGTTTATTGTACTATAAACTATGTTTTTATGAACAAATGCCTGTTGTCTTCAGTCGGAAAGCAATATATATATTCTTTGTCTTCCGTTCGGTAAGTTCAATTGACCTACATTTCGTGTTTTTGTTTTATAGTCTTAATTATGTCCATTTAAATACTTTAAGCAATATGCCTGTACAAATGAAACAATAACTATGACACTTGCTTAGTTTAGTATTCTTGGTTGTCGTATAATTCAGTTTAGTTGAAAGAATTATGGTATACTTAAGTATAGTGCTTGAAGTCTGTAACGAAACAGATCAGTCTAGTAAGTAGAGTTGCCTGTTTCTGATGAGTATACTAATTCAAATCAGTCTGATTAAAAATAGGAAGAAAGTGCTTTTGGTACTGTTGCTGTCATACATTATAAGATAGCGATAAGTATGTTTGGTGTTTATTTCTAGATTGTACATCTATCACTGACCATATTTCATGATCACTGTCATTAAACAATTTCCCCAGCAATAACATCGGTAGCAGGATAGCTAAGTGTGTGAGCTTTTATTTGCCCACAGAAGAGCAGTATTCAGTCTTAGAAGATGAGTGTTCTGTATCTCAATTAAATGCAGTTGGCTGTGGACAAATGTTAAGAATCTTTTTGACTACTAGGACTTTTAGTTCATCAAACACTAACTCTGCTTGTATGTCTCCCTGTTAAACTAGATGCAGATACATGGTAATACTTAAATGAGAGCAAAATAATAAAAGCATTGACATACGGTATTAAGTCCATGTTATGCTTTGCACAAGTAATAGCTGACCTGACCTAATATTCATGAACTAAAGGTAAATCACAACTGCATAAATTCTTTGCTAAAAAACATGTAATTTGGTTATTTATCTATTCCACATTTCTGACTAAATTCATCACTATTTTTTCATTTAGAATGCAACAGGAGTGAGCCTTCACAAATCCTAAAAACTATTTCGCACTTGGAACTATGGCCCTGTTTACTGGAGACCCAACTAACAGCAGATTATAAAAAGGATACTGGACGTCCATTTTAGTTTCACAACCACTTCCAGTACTTTTTGAGTTACTTCTTTTACCCTTCGTTTGGAAAAACAACAAAAACTGCTGCTTAACATTACAAATGCAACTTGTAGACTGGAACTTGGTTTAAACCTTTGTTTGATATTCGATTCTTAATGAAAGTTCTCGAATAAATTTTTGAACCTAATGCTACTTTGTTTTACATACTTAATCGTTGCAAGAAACTTGTGATAATCGAGCCTCTCATCACCTAATTCATGTGTTCAGGCTTCCGTGTCTATTAGCAGGGGATCACCAAAACCTCCAAGCAGGAACCTAGGTATGTTAACAATAAAAGACCCAGTCGCCTCCCAAAGGACTCCTGGGAAGTCGCTTGGACTAGTTCGGCGGGTAGCGAATTCCAGCATCCGACAACTCTTAAGGAGTAGAAGTTGCGTCTACAGTCCATTCTGCTATGTCGTGTCTCTAGTATCTGGGATTAAGCTCATGTAGGTGTTTAAGAGAATGTCCAGAAGTGTTAAGGATCCTGTAAGTAAATAGGTCACCTCTAAGACGTCTATACTTTAATGAGTAGAGATTAATTGATTAAAGGCGCTCTTCATAAGGTGATTTGGTGCATATATCCGTCATTTTCTTGGGAAACCTACAGGCTCGGGTCCTCCCACAACTTATTCTAGCCACCATGAGTTGCCACGAAAACTGATGGATGGACACGCGTTACACATCCTAACCGTCCCTGCGTCTAATCTCATAGCTTCTTATTCAAATGTCATATGATAAGCAAGTAATGTTTCTACCGACACTAATGGAAGACGAGTAATTCAAAGGCACCCTGTATGGTACTTTAGATTGGTCTACGCACTCGGCTTTTTATTGAGAATATTACTACAGTCCTGCTAAAAATCCCATGAACCCACCTATCACCATCAAAACAATAAGTCTGTATTTGCTGCATATAGCAATTTTATTTTTCAGAAGATATATAACAGTTAGAATTGGAGTAAAATAGCAATATACAGCAGATGCACGTGGTACATGTCTTCATCGATCAACTGAAATAGAGAATACGGATATTAGTTTAACATGCTTATCTAGAAAGACTAGTGTTTACTTTGAACTTACTGAGTGAGAAAGTTATACTGGAACTGTGAATAATGTAGGAATCTAGTCTCCCAGGGCGTACGAAGCACTCAAACAGGAAGACAGTTGTCCCAAAATAATTCGAATATGAAGGTGAGAATTTGCAAGTACTTTTCATCGTAAGGGTGAACATATTCGATAACGGTTGACATGACACCGTAAAAAAACACAAATCTGCGAGTGGTGAATTATGGTCTATAAAAAGGTGAGCTTAATAACAGTTAGTTACCTTTTTACTTTCTGATCATGACCCTTCGGCTTCCTTTTGTGGCCAAAACACCAAACATACACTACACACTGATAGCAGATTTCCGGCTTTTCAATGTTAAGCTTGCTTTAACGCACTACGTGATGCGTATAACCCCTCCATTACTGCTATGTGGCATATTTTTTCATAACAAACCCTCTGCAATAGATCGGTAGCATCTGTGACTTCGTCTATGGTTGTCGGAAGCCTGGGTACTTTCGAAAACAATACTGACATCCCATACTGCTAGGCACTAAGTATTGGTTTGACTCGTTGTGGGATATTTTTGTCCGCAATACTGAAGAAAATTAAAAACCGTAAATTGGTTCCTTTCATTTTGCCGATAACATCATAAAGTACGGTTAGGAATGAACATGCGGACAGTTAGTCACAGGAGGCAGCAACAGTTATTTCAGCTAAGAAAAAACGAACTTCGGCTTTGGATATTTAGAAAACAAGTCAAAACCAAACCGATTTCCATTTTAAAACATAAGACTAACCAGCTTGACTGAATTACATTGACTAGAGTAGAAGCAGTAAAAACCCAAAAAACAATGCTGATTCGAAGTAAATTTCACACCAACATGTGGAACATTACACTAACTGCGGCATCTTAGTACATTGAAACATTAATTACATAGCTACACAAAAGAAATAGCTAAAAGAAGCACAGAACGAAGAAAGCCGGCCGCCATTACGTACAAGGATGGCTGACATAATAATTCCCGCCACATTCTGATTGGTTGCTAAGCTGAAGAGCACATTTACGAAATTGAGTTGCGTTTAATTGCAGCCCTGTCTTTATAGCTCATGATTATGAGACAATCAGCACGAACTGCTATTGTTTTCCCAGGTTTTCAAGTATGGTCAGGTTGAGGATCTTGTTGTTCGGAAGTCGAAAAGCGTTTCCGATTCCTATGCTCTTTGCTGACCGAGTGGACATTCTTGGGAGTAGAGTGTGCGGTTAAATCGCCAGCTGGGTTAACAACAGAACTTGGAATGTTCAGCTTTTTAGACGGTGACTCTCGGTCGTTTTTAACTTCGGGTTCAATCACCTATAGAGTTTTTTGGGAACCACCGTTGCATTCAGAGATCCTGTGAAGGGAGATAAAAATCTGCTGGAGGAATCTAGTACCGTTGGTTTTATGATGGTGCAGAATTTCATCATGTCTTCACAAGTGTTATTGCATGCCCCATCGATAGAAACGCTGTCGAGATCCATCTTCTTGCTTTCACTGCAGGTGTGTGTATGTACACCCGTTTTAGGACTGCCTCTTTTCAGGTTTCCTGACGATTTATTCCGCAGAACTCTCAAGAGAATGATAACGTTTCCCAGCAAAACCTCAGCATTCGTTTTGCTAGTGATGAATGTACAACTACGATCCGACTTACTGAGTCTGATGTAAGCACGTACTGTAATATCTACACACGATTCGTGGAACTAACCTTTGCAACTGTCACACTGCAAGCCAGATGTAACAGAAAAACGGCAATCGGGTCACTTGCATGAATTCTTCATGACTTTATTGACGTAAAGTGTCATACAGATCGTAGAACTAGTCAACGAACGTAAAACGAAAAAATTCAGTACACTAAAAACGGATAAAGATAGATAAAATGGAGTGGTACAAAAGGTCACGATAAACTGAAACTAACCTTGACGTGAAAATCCGAGAAACCAAATAGTAGGCTGAAGCCAAACCACAGTTAGCTATTAAGATGGGTAAAAGAAAAGTAATCTACAGAACGTTAAGCTCAGGACAGATTCTTCAGATCAGAAATGGTGCTTTTGTTGCGTGAGGAACAGCAAAAGTTTGAAAAATACAAGTCAAATTAGGACTAAACTTCCCGTTCGAAATGCGCGCGTGATAAATGCTGATTAACGGTTAGAGGAAATTTCCGTCCGTCTTCGAATTTGCATTGGAACGATACATTTTTTTTACAGACGTTGATACCTTTTTCTGTAGAATACCTAACTAATTCCATGTACGCTGTTGGATGGCATGGCATTCTTGTGTGCATTTCATATTCTTCAGGATTTGCAAACGTTTTAAAAATGTCAGATGTATTTCAAGTTTATCAGCGCTTTTACACGTGACACCTTTATAATCGATGCATATCAATCCAATCAAATCAAAAGTTGGAAACGAAATCATTCAAAGATATATTCGGAAGGCTGGCGATGTGTCGAGAAGCGTTTGGCATGAGCTAGCTGACAGTCGCAAGGAATGCGTAGCATGGTATACTCACCCGTGATCTGGAGCGGACTTGTGACCGAGCGCTTCCGGCTAGGCGAGTGGACTGAAATTACTACGGTCAGCATCAAAATTCGAAGACTTACAGAGCTATTGAATTCGGGGATTTATTTACGGTCACAAGTCCTATATATATTGAGAAGCTGTTACAAAGTACCAGTATTTCAACTTTATTGACAACTGTTGTCTATCATTTTGAACCAAGTTGAATATTTCAGTAAATTCCTATTTATTTTGCAGTTGTTTTTAACAGATATCAAGTTGCAACTTTCTGGTCATCTGAAACATAATATGGCTGCACTACATAGACCAGATTGTGTGAAGAATCTGTTGACATTTCATAAATCCACTCAAACGAAGGCGTTCATGCACATAAGTTTAATAATTGGTACTCATATGAAGCACTACTACATTAGGAGGCCGAAATATACAAAGCCTATGATCCACCAGTTTGGAGAACCAAGAATGTCAGATCATCTACAGATATCACTGTAATTTTGGAGTAACGTGCCGAAAAAGTTGCCTCCAAATCAAAATATGTAGGGGTTTGGAGGATGAAAATATATTTGGTACGTTGTAGCAAGAGAGGTGAGTTTCGAAATTCCAGCTTGCATATAATTTTGACGGCCAATTTAATAACTTGTGTCATGTAAGTATCGGTGATGTTTCGAGTGGTTATGGTTTTCGAGAGTTAGAGGACATTGTTTTTGATTTTCAGTGCTTGCAGGCTTGTGTTTTGAAATTTACTTGACTACTCCTGATATCTAAGATGATAATAAGTTTAAGAATTCGAAGGACTTTGGATTGCAGGCTTAATGCGTCTCAAAACTCTATTTACAAAAACAAATATTAGACCAACAATTGTTTTTTTTACGGATTTCAGTTTGTGGGTAAGATAAGATGGTTAACACGATCCATAAACGTCAGAACTTAATGCCAACAGATAGAAAGACTTTTCGGGATATTTTATTTTGTGTTCTAACATACATTCTCGGCCACAAGCGGGTAATCGAAAAATTGAGTTAAGTGAAATGTCATCAGTTGATTTACATTTCGTTGTGTCGATTATATCGTTTTGTAGCAGGCCAAAATATAATTGCTTATATGAGTTCATAGAAACAAAAGGCTGAAATTCTCAATTTCTAGGCATGTTATGACTGTAGCTGTACAGTAAAATGATCATATGTTTCGCGAAACTCATTCCGCTGAAAAGTAACAGAAAACTTTGGTGATGGAACACGTGGTGTAGGCTTACCTAAAATGGTCGTTAACAAAATACTGAATGAATGACATGCTATTTTTTATCTACTAATCTGGAAATTAAAAATATTTGTATTGTTTTACTTTTCTAAATCATCGATACGAATAGTGTTTAGAGTCTCCCGCCTCATCCAAGCATCATGTCAACTAGAAGACCGTCCGATCACTTTGGTAACAATTCAGGTGATCAAGAAGATTCAGTGGACTTTGAATTTTTCGAAGAACATCGGTAGGTGATCGGAATGATGAATATTTTAGCTATACGAACGAAATGTAGTATTAAAAAAGATAATTTAATTATTACTATGTGGTATATATGTATGTAAGTATCATGGAACATGACGACTAAGGTAATTCCATTTTTCTACAAAATCTTTTTCACTGACATTGAGTTCCGTCGTCATATGCCTCAAATTTTTATTATTATTTTAGTTGTCTTCACAATAATGGAATAACATTATCAATAGGTAATATTATTCCAATCATGGTGGAATTTCCTTAGAAATGCTAATGTGAAACATATGCATATATTTGAAAAATTTTTATCTGAATTTTGGCGCATCTCATAGATTGTTTGTCTTATAGATAATATTACTCAATTTTCCTCTCCAGCAGATTACAAAGCAAACATCTTGGAATGTTTCCTCATTTTTAACGTCTAAGTTTTTCATTGAGTCTCCTTCGTTTCTCTTGAGTTCTCCGTTTGCCTGGGATTTTCATTTTAGTGGAGACATAGCGCTTCAAGCGGTAGATGTCAATATATTTCACTATTTGAATGCATTTCTTATTATTTATAATTCATTATTTTCTATGCTTGACATACTATACTTGGGTATGGTCTGTTAAACGTAGATCATCTTCGCAACGTCGGCATAAGAAAAGGTACCTTACAGGTACTTGCAGTACGTACTGCAAGTACGTCCATAGTGAACGTCCACATCAGCCAAATTCGTTTATTAGTTTTACTTATCTTACCAAACATTCCTAAATTATGATATCAACACTTTTTGTACTTCTTTCTCCTTGTTTCTGAGACGATTTTACTAATTTGTGTATGAGTATGTAATGGGCCAGACCTAAGCGAATGTTTGTGCACTAATATCAGTAATTACATAAAAAACGGGAACGGTTAACATATAAATGAAATTCTAACAGCAAATGATCACATAATGCTGAATTTAAAAACAAATGTCATCTGGTAGAATCTTTGGGCACATTACAAATAACTTCATTCTCTTGCCTATGCTTTTAAAAGCTCCTAGATGACGTCGGATTCTCAGATTTATATTTCAAGATCGTCCTAATTCACGTTCAGTCAAGAATTTCTCAAAGTTTGTATGCGAATAAAATGTCCGAGACACTGTAGTCAGTGTTCGGCCAGGCTCTAGTCCTAACTAAACAGAAGACTAAAGCAAGAAAAATACGGTGTATTCAACACGCGATTGCGATGTCAAAATTCATATAATAAACATAACAAGTGATATGTATAATGCAGTTGTTATGTACAAATGAAATGTGCTAAACATCTATATAACTAAACATGGAATATCACAAATATAAGAGAAGACAAATTATTTTACCAGGACTATAGAAATTACTACATTTTCTGTCACTACGTGTATTTTATTTTTGGATAATTACTATCCTATGCAACAAAAAATACTTAAACAGAGCAAAAATAACACGGTTTGCAGAATAAAATCAATTCATTCCGTTTCATGGTTTCTTACCAGCCGCATACATCCCAAAATTACAATTAATAATATAAATATAATTATTAACAAATATTTAGCATACTTTGGTTTGTGTAGTTTAGATAAATGTTCGAAACGTGGCCCAAAATCATAATAATAATAAGAACAGGGATATAAAGTATATGAATAGACATGTTTAAAATCGATGTGTATTTATAAGTCGGGGAGTAATAAGTTAGAAGTCATGTAAAGGTAAGAAAATCAGTAAGTGATTGAGTAATCCCATGATGAAATAAACAAATATATGAACAGTTAAACTATGTAAGTGGTAAATATTAGATGATCAAATAGAAATAATGATAAAAGTTTGGGGATAGGGTTGAGAAAGATTAAAGTTAAAATTAACAAAGGTTATTAGGTGAACACATGACTACCAAGGGAAGGAAAGTTTAATCACACTACCCTTCTGTATACATAGGTCAGGTCTAAAACCATTTTGAATACACTGCTCACATCTACCTCATGCCGACTACCCAAATAATGTCTTGCATTTACACTTGTAAATATTTCACTCTCTTTCAGCCGTATGTTCACAGAAATGTGTCCAGAAAACCTTGTAAGGGTCCTACTCTCTGTTCTTCTCATATGCTTGTAATTTTTGGTTGTATGCAGCTGATGATAATCCGTAAAGTAGAATGAATCTATTGTATTCTGCGAATCGTGTTTTTCTTACTTTCTTAAAATTTTTTAAGGGCTTTGGTTGAATTTTAACCAGGTAGTAATTGAAATGCTTGACGTTAAAAACGAACAAACACATAATCCAGTGATCGTGATATATACTTTAGTTAGAGCTGTTTAATCTATTATTACTGTGAATTTTATACATTGAACTGGCTGTTTATTAGTTTATATCAACTACTGCTCAGTCTGGTTTGTCCAAATTTGCATAATAACTACGTATTTAAATCATGTATGACTGAATGCAATTTTAATAGGCTTTGAATCAGTAGTTAGATCACTGGTTGTACCTATTGTGGATTTATTTTGTGGTGCTAACAAATATTATTCCCAGCCTTACTGTCTTCCTCTCACCCACTGTCATTAACCCCATTTCATCGCAGTTCTGCCAGTCAGCAATACCATTGCTTTAATGAGATGTAGCACACAACAATGAATGACACAGTTCATCAAACAATCGATGCATTATTAGTTAATCATTATGATAATGAAATCATAATACGGAGCTTTTTAAACTCTTATTGTAATGATAAACTTTAATATTTTTATAAAAGCTCTTCATTTCAAGTTTCCATCAGTGAAAGTTTGTTGAACGGACATTATTGAAAACCTAAGTACAAGTAGCTATCCCTGAAGAATCATATAAATAATGCGATACAAATGTGATGGATACAATATAACATTACCTTATTAACCAAGTTCATGAAAACCAGAAAGATATAAATGCATTTCAAATGTTTTTATTGTTGAAGGTTTAGGATTTACCAAAAATTTAACGTTTAAGAATTATTAAACCTATATTTATCAGTTGAGTACTTATTACTAGGAGTTATAGTATTATATATCACAATCTTAGTAATATAGAATTTGAAAAAAATTAATTAATTTTTTGTAGTGTAGTGCAATACGCATAAGGAAAAATAGTTTTAATCGACACTAAATATTAGTACACAAAGTATATACAAAATTGACACAATAATGTATCGTGAGACATGCTACATGTCTTTACTCCCTATTATTTGTTGTCTCAATAACCTCCAGTAAGTAATGCAAAATCAGTCAAATCTATTTTAACATATGTTATGTACAGCGGCATATGGAGTTATTTACACGGTAGCCAAATAGTAACCCGAGTAAATTGTCATGTTGAATTTCATTGTAAAAATATTTTTCTATAGGTAGTTTAACTGAGTAATTAGTTAGAGGTTAGCTGATATACTTATTTTCAAGAATGTCTGGTAGGAAGTTTCAAACGAAAGTGAAAAAAAACTTTGTGACACAAATTCTTTTTGTTAAGATACAATTTTCGAATTCCTTCAAATTTTGGTGAAATTAAAGTGTTAACTATGATATGGTGGTAACAGGAATTTGTGTAACTATTCCTATAAGCATACAAATTGTTTGCATATGCAATTTAGTCGATCACGAAACCCTATCATTAGTTGAAAATGTCCATTTAAAACTATAACCTTTACAGGCTTTACAACTTCACACTTTTTAAGGCGAAATTGTTTGTACGGGAGCAAGACATTAAAGTCATTCATTTTAATAACGTAGGACCTGTTCGTTGTCACAGATCATAATTTATAGCACTTATGTCTGTGGTAAGAATCGATTGGCAAAATGATATTTTAATTCAATTGGTAGAAATCCTTATGTTTACTGCTTAAGGAACCATAAATGGGAAATATAAATATACTTGCAAATGAAATAATATATGAATATCAGTCACAAGCTATCAACTTGGTATCAAATGCAGTTAGAAAGAATGCATTATATTTGAAAAGTTCAGTTAATGCAATAATAGAGTGGTTACAAGCAATAATACAATGAAATTAATGGGAAGTTTTGATTTTAATAGTCTGAAATTAGTCATATTATTACACTTAGAATCTTAAAAAAAATACAACTTCAAATACAGAATTATAAGTATGGTCTCAGCATATTCGACCAAGTATTCCTCCCAAAACAAACTCATGAAAACCACTGATTTACTTAGCTATAAAACTAAAACTAATAGGGTGTTCGTATGGTTCTAGACCAAGTTATGTAGTAAAATTTCATTATTACAATGGAGCAGCAAATAAACCTTATTATTTATCCACTCTCGACAATCACGCACCGGCAGAATAGCCTTAAATTTTGAGTCAATGATGAGTTTGGTATCCATAGATGAGACAGAAAACGTGAATACCGGGGAAAGTGTAAAATAAATCGAAATTATTACCTCTTAGTGAATATTGCAATAGACAGATCTCATATCGTCTTTTGGAGTGTTGATATGGTGATTAGAAGTCTTTGAATTATTGTACTGACAAGGAATTCCCAAAATAGTGCGATTTGATGTAAGTAAAACTAGATGAGCACAAGTACAAGTATTACATTTGGAATTCGTAATAAGCAGGCAATCAAGTACAAAGGAGTCATTAGCTCGTACAAATGCCACAGTTAACCAAGAAATAAGCATGATGGTCAGATCTTAGTGTTGTTCAGACTTAGTCGATCATAGAAATACTTACTTTTAAAGCACCTACGTTTGAGCACACTTTTAATCATGTTTGGTTTTATGTCTGATATTCTGTATACAAGCATGTAAATTTACTAGCAAAATAACTTGTTTTGTTCAACAGTTGTCTTGTTTTCCAATATTTATAAATTCGGTGACTTGCGTTAATAATTCGGCCTCATGAGCCGTTGTCATTAGGCGGCATCAATTTCAATTCTATTAGTTTATATAATAATATTTGTGCATCCTCTATTATTGATCACAAAATTCCACTGTTCAACAGACTAACTACCCGGTTTTTTATGAAGATTAAAGATATAGGAAATGAGATTGGTTATGTTTTATTCTGAGAGATTTCTAACATACTAAGTTTTTTATATATTTAAGTAATCTTATTCTGGGCATCAGGACATTTTACTCTATTAATCATTTTATAGACAGTTTTTTAGTCTCTTCATAACCCATGTTATGTTTAACAAACTACATGTACATGATTCAATATGTTTATGGAAACGAAAATTAACTATTAAAATTACAGACATTTTTGAGGCCTTAATGCTACCACTCTTATAGTTATTTGAGGCAATATCCGGGATGATAATGTTGGTATATAATTTTAATTTAAAATATATATCCAGGTACTTCTGAAATCATGATATATATATATATATATTGTAGAGGGTTATGAAGAAATTCAGTAAAGGAAATTCAATAATAATATGTTAAAGATACCTGAACAACTCGGTGATTTCATCTTAAAAATTTAGAATTCTTTTAAAATGAATTTGTGTTTATCAGTTGGCTGAACTGAAAAATGCACATTGAAAGTGAAAAGACGAATGGGTGTTTAAACGGAAACAGGTTTCTTTGCTGAACTAACTTTTTTTTACCAGTTAATTTTGATGATAGTAATTCATTGAAAACTAAGTGATATCATTCACTTTGAACTAGATATTTTTCTTAGAGAACTTCAGAAAAGCTTCTTTTGTTTAATAAATATTTTGACAGCTAACAATTCTTACTCTTTCTACCATCTGTTTCGTAACTTTAATTTGTATCGTTCCTTTTGTATGAACAAAGAGAGTCTATACCGGGATCACTGAAAAAGAATGACAACAATAATTCAAATTTAGTTAAAGTAAACAATAAGACGTTCGTAGTAGAAGAAAAACAGGAAGGTGGTCTGTATAAACGGAATGAAGATCTTGAATTAAGCGATGAAACATATCATAACATTGAAGAGGAAGAAGAGAACAAGAAGGGAAAAGAAGATGAAAATAATTGGGTTAAAAGTCCAACATTTCACAAATCATTTAATAATTCTGATAGAAGTAATAGAAATAAAGCTGTAGTGAAGGATATTGACAGTGACTCAGTGAATGATGATGACGAAGAAGAACAATCAATTTCATCTGGCGATATTTCTAATATTCCTAGAAATAAAAATAGAAATGTAACATCTAGAAATTCTCCAATACGACAATCACCGAATAAAACTAATGACCGGAAAAAGCAAACCAGACCCTCATTTCATATTGCTTCAAATTCTGATATTTTTAATATGAACAATGAATGTATTAATGTTGCACAAATTGCAGATGCTTTGAAAAGTTTTGACAAAAAAATACATCGTTTACATATTCGTCCACCATGGAAAGATCCGAATTCAAAACCACTTCCAAGTGATCGAACAATAGCATTTTATAACATGTACGAGGACTATTTAAAATATCGAAATCAGCGACCATTGTCAAGTTTAGGATATTCAACAACAAAATGTTTGAATGACGAAATAGCTGTGCATAGATTGTACCACTCAACATTGAATCGTTTGCGTCAAAATGAAAAAATACAGCTGGAAAACTATGTAAGTTCGTCATGAACTAAATATGGTTTATTATTTCAATTTGAAGATTATAAAGTCTCAGGATGTTTGTAAACCTATTAAGATACAGGCACACGATATGATGAATCGAAATTCTACTTTACACCTACTTGCTCTATATGTACTTAGGTCTTCATTATTATTTTCAGTGTTTTCCTAATTTTTGCTCTCTTCTTTTCTCTATTAGTGTGAAGTTTGTAAATGACGAGACCATAATTTAAAAGTTAATCAATCATATTTAAGATGGCTAATCTTGGGTTTTGATGCTAGATTTACTAATGCATATGGCTAAATGGCTTTTTAGGCCTTATATTTGATGTGAGTTCATGGTTAAAACCTTAGCTTTCAACTGTCGATCGCGATAGTGATTTCTTAAGCACATTTATATCCTTTTTTAGATCGAAATAGGTAGGTGAATTTCTTCAGGGTCACCTTGTGGGCCCTCAAATGTCATGCAAATGTCGTCAAACCTTGAAACTTTATTTCCATTTTGATTTTGACAGATTAATAATCAATTCACAAAATGATATGTTAAAAAATACATAACGTAAAAAATGTGTAACATTTAAGTACAAAAGGGTATTATGATCGTGCATTTGTGCAATTAAACTTGTTACGGTAAATCTACTAATTTGGTTATAAAGTTTACTCATTTAAAAGAGAGTTGTATTATTATTATTTCTTTGCCTGTAAACAAATGGATTTGAAATATTTTGAAACTAATAGAAATATTTATGTATCCAAGTGATGATGTTATGTAAAGGAGGATACGGAAAAATAAATTTCATTGAAAGCACATTAAAAGGAGTGGTACTATAGTAGTCGGAATTTGAGAAAGCCTAAATATGTTTTTCGTGACTCGCGTTCGCACGCAAGACCGAAGGCCCTGGGTTCAAAACCCGCGAGCGGGATAGTGAATGCACACTCCTGACGAGTCTCGCAATAGGACGAAACGGCCGTCCAATGCTTTCAGGTCTTCAATGCTGGTCAAATATCAATCAGTTCATGATCTCAACCAGAAAAATTATAATAATCCACAACCACATACTGATAATTACGACATGCTAACTTGTGACTAGCTTCGTGAGGGAATTCTCGGAGTTCTAGTGAGAAGCCATGACCAATGGAACGAAATATGTAAATATACATTTGTTTTAACAGCTTCTTCTATTATTAATTATTATTTCTTTTTTCGTTTCAATAATACTTAGGAATTAGCTAAGCGCTTACAAAAAATTCGACCAACAACTGGTATGACTAGAGAAGAACAATTACGAGATTATAAAAAGTATTTTATTACACCGAACTCATTGTATCCTTATTATAAATCTGACTTTACTTCTTATCGAAAACATTTTTATGTCAATCAAAACCTTATTAAAAATAAAAAGCAGATTAATACTGTAAAACCAAATGAATTAACATCGAAATCTGTAAATAATAATTTATCATATAATAAATACCAAACAAGTAATAATAATAATAATAATAATAATAATAATAATAATTTGAAACGATCAAACAAAGACGTGAAAGGAAAAATAAAATTTGAAAATTCTTATAATTCTGAATTTAAACATGAATCACATGATTCACATTCTTCTACATTGAATCATCAAGTTCAATATTCAAAACAATTCAATAAACCAATCACTGTTAAACAACAATCTTCCAATAATCGTCCATCATCATCATCATCATCAACATCGTCAAGTTCATTTAATTCATCACCTGAATTATCAGTGAAATAATAATAATAAATACTTTTAAAATGAATTAATTTTCAAATTTTATTCAATTTATTTATTTTATTTGTTTTGGAAAAAAAAATTGTATTTTTAAATACGGTGAATAAGAATTTAACTTTAAAAGTAAATATAAATTAACAAACATTTAAACAATTGAACAATTGAAATATCTTTTTCTTTCATAATTTATATGGGATATTTATTGAATGATAAACATGTTATAGAAATAATATCAATATATTGAATGAAAAAAAATAAATTTTTGTTTATTTTAACCTTTTATTTATTAATTAATTTTTCTAATTGATTTATCTTATATACATAGTAAAAAATGAATCTGTCCCATGGAAATGATATTGATTATTTCTGAGAACTATAGATAATCAATAAAGATGGTTGTACATTTGTTTGTTGTTGTTTTTTTAAATTTATCTTCTATCAATTATTTCATAGTTTTATATTTTTATTCATGGATCAGTAACTAAGTATTTTGTAAATCATATATACATACTGCTTGAAATTTTTACAAATGGGATTAACTTTGTTTTAGTTGTTTAAATATCATTTTATTAAAATAAATGTTACAATGTTTTTTTTTCGTTATTAATCTTTCTTTTTCATGGATTGATATCACTTTCAATACTATAGAAATCTAGAAAGTATAGAATATCTATATGTTTTTGAATAGTTCATGTTCATTAATGAGAACAAATTTCATTTATTGATTAATTTATCTAGTTGTGTTATTTTTTTCACTGAAGACTATAAATGTTAAATGATATATGTAACGAACAGTTTTAGTTTTATTTTAAACCCCAGGATTCTAGGAACTCTGCAATACTCACTGGGTGGTGATCAATGTCATGTGTGTCAAGTCCTTCTTAGTGCAGATCGAATGCTATTGGCCAATCGATCAATCAATTGTGAATACATCTCAGTCCTACAGGAGGTCAGTCGCAGCCCGGATAACTCAGTGGTAACGTCTCTGACTATGAAGCTGGGTGAAACGGGATTGAATCCGTCAGAAAGCACCGAAATTACAGGTACACCTTGCTAACGTGTGCGAAGTAGCACGAAACCCGGGTCCAGGTTTTCCTGTTGATTAACTTCAACCACCATTTTATCTCAACATACTGGACGCAATGTCGAGTCACCCAGACTAGTGGTTACATTGCAACTTGGTCGATAGCATTCGATCTGCACTAAGAAGGACTTGACGCACATAAAATTTGTTATTACACAGTGATCAATCAATTGTGAATACCCACCATCGTTTGTCTCTTCCATGAGCCTAAGTACACTTAAACTCACAATCGTCAGGGCTCATGATGATATTAATTTCAAACCACTAATTCGAAACAACTAAATGGTATCCAGATTTCATAAGTTTTCCAGGTGGTATCATTTTGAAATGGATACTATTTCTAGGTCAAACTAAACTTCACAAATCTCCTAATAGGAAATAAGTTCTCAAAATATCTTGATTACATTTATCCAAAAAACTGAAAGAAATCATGGAAATGTTGAACAAGTTCTATCGGTTCACCAAGTTTTGATTATCTTTGTCCAAAGAGGTATGTATATTTTGAAGTGTTATTTCCTTATATTAAAAATGAGTAGTTGAAAAGTATCTTAAATAATTTGTTCACTGTTTTACCTTTCATTAAAGAATTTAGACATGGTTATTTTGTATTCAATTTTATTTGTTGAATTTATTTAATTTCTCGTCATTGCTTTCATCATTCATACTCTCTTCTCAATATTACTCATTTTTGGATTCTGGATGATTATGCCAACTAGTCTTCAAAGTTTTGTGTCATTAAATTTATTTTTGGGTCACATAGTTTGACCACATCAAGGAGATAAGTTACAAATCTTTATCAATGTGACAATAAGGTCAATAAAACAAATAAAATTATATTAGCAGGTCAATGTAAGTCTTTGAAGAGGAATACGATAAACTATCAAAGCTGTCATCATATAAATAATTAATTACAAAAATATAAACAAAAAGTATGATGATATTCTCAGAAAGAAAGAGATAAAACAGGCTAATATTATTTTTAGTTTTAGATTTCAAAATTACCTGAAACTATATATAAGAATTTGAAGTTTACAAACTAACAAAATTTCACGATTATTAATCGTGAAATTATTCGTTCAGTTTCTCATTTTTTCACTAAACAAATCAGGTTGATCAGAAGAATTTTTAAAAAATTCGAACTGAGAAAAAATTTCGACAATTATCATACATTTCAATAGTTTAGATCATGAGCCAATTGAAGTTCGACCACTATGGAAAACGTGGAAGTAATGAACGGCCGTTTCGTCCCATTGTGGAACTGTCCCTAAATGCCCTAGTATGGCTGAGAGAGAGACTTGGGCCCGCCCTCCCTCTCAAAATGTTCTCACACGGTCACGCGTACACAGCCTCTGCCAGGGAAGTCCCACTCACTGCCTTCTTGTGGCGGGGGTGTTGTTTACGAAAATGAGAGGACGAAAAGTGAATGTTCGGCTCTTTAACCAGATCCTGAACCAATGGTGCACATGGGCTCCAGTATCCTGAGGGAACAAATAGCATATGAACCAATATTTGGTCACCGGCTACCATGAGACTGCATCTCCTTACGATGCACCACTGTCTTGTCCGTTAGACCTTTAAGTCAAAGGCTCGAGGTGTGGGCCCCTAAGAAAACCACCTTCTTTGACCTGGGCACCCGGGCACTATCACTGCCCACGCACAATTATGATGCACTATCTATATTTATGGAAAATACTATTCTTGCTGCGATTAACAATCAAATGATTCATATTATTATTATTATTATTATTATTTACTACGTCATTTATTCACTCTCTTTTATTCCCACTCTGTCTATCCTTACTTTTCGACTTATACAGCAGCTTGCATATAATGGAAATTCGGTTCTATCTAAGCGTTCTTGAATCACTGCCTGATTGAAAATTGTATGCTATCCTTCACGACTCTCTGGCTGGGGTCCGAGAGATGGTGCGACACAGTGGCTAGAGACCTCATCAGATATAGCTCAGAATAGAAGTTAGTGGCGATCCTGCTGTAAACTTTTTTTAATTTCTTCATAAAAAGTGGTTGCTTCTTCCTTAAGTGAAAGATTTCTTTTGGTTGTACCTTTCTGTTTCCCCCATTATTATTATTATTATTATTATTATTATTATTATTATTATTACACTACCTTACACTAATCTGGTCGTTATTGTTCTCTTTTTTTCTTTTACGCTCCTTGACTTCTTTTTTTTGCCTTCCCATTTTGTGTGGCGCATATATATTTGGTGCCCTCTTGTATCAACATCTATGTGTTCAAATAAATAAATAAATTGTGGAATTCCTCAGTAGGGTGCATCCATGATTCCGCCTCGCGAGATCCGAACCCGGGACCTATTGGTCTCGCGTGCGAACGCTTAGCCTCTAAATTACTAATCCGATATCCATGGTCCTGGGTTTGAAGGTCGCGAGACGGGATCGTGGATGAGCACTGCTGAGGAATCCCACAATAGGTCAAAACGGCCGTCCAATGCTTCCGGGTTTTCCATAGTGGTCTAGCTTCAACTGACTCATGATCTCAACTATTAAAAATTACTGCAATTTCAACAAAACCGCTTCTGATATCAGTTATGGTACAGTTTATACATTAGGTATTTAGAAGTGTATGATACGACTATTGAAAATTCCTAATTAGGATATTTTTGATTTTCATTAAACATTTATGTGTGAAATTTTGAAAAGAAAGTATTTTTCACACAGATTTTATTACTTATTTCGCTTTGTTGTTTTGAATAACATTAGTTGTTATAAATATCGTCTCTTTGCAACTGGGTAATGATCATATCCTTTAGAACCGATTTCATTTAAACAAGTTCAGAAATAACCTTACATTTCTGTTTTTGTGGCTATTCATTTTTTTCAGTGATTGATTCTTTAAAATTCTTGAAATCACTATCACTTATTATATTTCACTTAATACAAACTTAAAATTGCATGTTACTTATTCTCGTATATACTAATGATTCAATACATTTCTCCTTAGAACTTGGATACAAAATTAGTAAAACCTTTGTTTCCGTAGTTTTACATCCTTTGTTTTATACCATATTTGATGTTTTCATAGTTATTTTAAAGTTAGTTGTTGATTGAAAACGTGATAAACCAAGAAAAAGTATCATTCATATGTAAAACATTCTTTTTTTTTTCTTTATTACATATTGTAAACATTGTAATGTTTATTTGTACTTTAAATGTAGAAGCTAGAATATTACAAAAATAAATTTTATCGTATGGTATTCAAGGTAGATGTTTTCTACAGCTTAAAAAAGGACATTGCTCTTGAATACACTCGAAAACCTTTTTAGGCTTTAGTGATCTGATTTGAGATCTCTTGTCTATTTTGATTGAGGGATAATCACAGCTTGCCTCTTATATAACATATTTTACGTGTCTTTACTTAAATACTAGTCACTTCTACTTGTTTTGTGGTAAGAATATCTACTTTCTGATGATATGAATTGTTTTATAGGTTCCCACACACTTGTGGTGGAGTTTCTGGTTTGGCTAAATGGTTATTCATGATATTATATAGTATTGACACATACTGTAGTGAACAAGAAAACGGATGTGGACAATCGAATGTAGTGACCATAACAATTACAGACTATCTCAATAAAATCTGAATACCATATAGTAAATCATCAATTTGCAGAATATTCATGCATCAAATCAAACTGGACTGTTTCTGTTGCAAACACCAATCCATTGTCTCCCATTCTATCGTTCATGCGTTTTCTTACGAATTCCATTTGTGTTTTCGTTCTTCTTTTCTTGATCTCCCCCTCATCTTCTGCTGCCAGACATTACGTTTTAACTCGCGTCATATACTACTCATATCAATATAAGTAGCTCACATCACAATACTACTCTTCGTTGATAAAAGGTTTTGGTTTTAGTGTATAATATAGTATATAGATAACCAAAATCAATTTTGTTGTTGACTAACTATGAATGGGAATATTTTTTAGAATTTTTATATTTTCATGACTGATTTAATACTGAGGTTACCTGTAGTTTAAATATTTATTACCAAATTCTGTAGAGATCACTATATAATGTTAACATGAATCTTGACGTTACACAGACACATTAGTGTTGACTAGAT